CCCGCGAGTCGCCAGCCCCGACCCGCGAGCAGGGGGGCTGCCAGATCTCCTCCCGGGGAGCAGACGGGGCTGCGCGGGCGGCGTCCGAGGACTGCCGATGCCAAGGGGCAGGCTACCTGACAGTCCTCCGGGTGGGGTTGCAAGCGGGGGTCCTGCGACAGCAGAGGGGCGGACTCGACGGCCTTCTTGGCTCCGTCCAACTCTACTCTCCTTCGTGGTACCCAACCAAACTAGACACTGAGGACTAGAAACGAGGGAAAGCTGAGCGACTGACTTTGTGCCCTCCCTCTGGAAGGGATCAGCGAGGTGCCTGCAGCGAACACAAGTGCTGGCCTGTAGACACTCCTTAAAGGCGGGGGGGGGGGCGTCGAAGCCCCCTTTCAGGGCAGGCGCCTCCCCATGGCTGTCAGCTGCCCACCGTGAGGGCCGTCCTCATACGGGAGAAGTCCTGAAACGGCCAGCATGCCTACAATCCGCCAGCATGAAGATGGCAAACACCTGTGGGAACATCTGCCCGAAACATCTGGCCTAGAGAACACTGCAAAAGGGAAAGGCAGAGCACGGGTTTGTGCCCGGCAGCCGCAGGCATGGCGGACAAGCCCCGGCCAGTGCGGCTGACCGTCAGGGCCCTGCTCCAGAACACCGGGAGGGCGTCTGCTCCAGAGGCCACGCGGAGGCGCCTTCCTCAACATAGACCCCACGCCTTTTGGGAGCTGCTTGCCCCTTCTAACCCTGGATGAGTGAGGGGGATGCGCTCTGCATGTGCTCAGAAGCACTTTCACCTCTTCTGCCATTAGATGAAAGGTCTGATGAAACAGGATTATGGATTTCGGTTGCCCGCTCAAGGCCCAGCCACCTGCACAGCACCTGCTTTGCACCAGGGAAGGCAAGATGACTGCAGGGATACACCTGTTGCAGGGCCACCATCCTGAGGCTTGCAGCTACCGAGGGAAGCCCGGGGGAGGGGGCGGTGGCAGAGGCGCTCTGCACCCCTCCAGGACCCTGCGAGTCTTGGTTGCATTGCAGCATGGTTCCCAAGTCTCTTAACCGCCTTCCCGTGAGAAGATGGGTTTTGCATTTCTCCCATAGGTACGGCACTCGCTGATTCCTCGGATTAAGTTGCATCAATTTAATGTAGATTTAATCCACTTAACATTTTGCGAAAGGGGTGCATAAGTAGATGGGATAAGTAGATGCTTTGCCCTTCTGCTTTCTAGGGTGTCTCTGCCTGTGCCATGACTCAATTTTTCGGCACCGCTTGGCAAACAGCCAGCAGCCTCTGGTGGCTCGGAGGAGACAGTCGTGCAACTGAGACTCAGGTGGGGCTTCAGATCTCCCAGGCCCAGCCACCTGGGGGCTGTGTGGGTGGATTTTTGGCCTCAAACACCTCATGCATTAATGAGACCATCTAATCCAGGGGAGGCGTATCGCAATATTAAACAGTTCATCACTCTAGATGACAAGTGTCACGAAAGGCCTCGCGCATGAGGCGAGGGGCGTCTGGACAGCCGCTGGTGCTGCGCAAGCAGATATTTCTCTACAGAGCTGCATTCAGGACTGTTAATCCATAGGCGAGGCCTTAATTTGGATTGGGGCCTGAGGTGCAGAACTTAAATCTTTTTAATGCAAGGCCTGACCCTGGGAAAGCGTGGAATAGTAATATAATACATCTGAACATGTGCAGAAGGCAGCTGATTGCCACAAAGTTGCCATTTCCACCAGACTTTAAAAAATAGGAACAAGACATTTTTAGAAATTCGCATTCCTACACTGGGGAACACGCAAACACGTAAAGCGCATCTCAAAATGCTGCGAAACCGTGGGGTACATCCTCACACACCTTTCCAGGGCGACTGAAAGAATCCCGGCCCATCTCAAAATGGCCAGCACAGGGGTATTCACTCATTCAAATGGCAGGCAGCATCCAAAGTCACACAAACAGAAAGAAGGAAAGAAAAAAAGCAATTTTGGTGGCAAACTGGAGTCACGATAACAAGCAAACAGAAATATGTTTCGGGACACAAGCTGTCCTGCTTCCGGGGAGGCAGCCCCATTGCACTCAATGGGACTCGGTCCGAGCGGACCTACAAAGCGACTTCCTGCAACGACACGCCACGCAAACCGAACTCCATCCGCAAAAGGCACCGAAGGCGCCTACTCGGAACGAAAGCAGAAACCGCAGGCATTGCATTTCCCCCTGCGCCGGGAGCTGCGTGCGCATGGCTCGACACGTGTCCGCTCGCTCGCCAGGCAAAGCTTTCACCCGAACCCGGAACTGGAGGCCTTGGAAGGCGCACGGTAGGCGGCACGACGGGAGTGCCTCTGCCCATGGGCAGAATGCCATGGGCCTCTCTGTCCCGCGGCTCAGAGCCCTCCTCGCACAGAAAACCAGCCCCGCGGACACCGACGCGGGCAGGGCCTCGGTGAGTCGCGGCCGCGGCTCCGCTTACCGGGCGGCGAGCGCGGGGCGCAAGGAGCCCGCGATCCGCCTCCGCGCGCCGCCTCCTACCTCCGCGCTGCTCTATGGGCATGCCCCGCGGCCATTGGGCGGGGCGGAGTCGCCACGCGCGCCCGGAGGAATCTTGCCCCTCCGCAGCTTCCGTACCCGCGGCCGGAAGTGTTGCTATGGAACCGACCGGCGGCCCCGGAAGTGGCGGGACCGTTAGACGTCGCGGCGGGGACTGCGTCGGGCGCAGGCGGCTTGTCCGCGGGATCGGCGCCTCAACCCTCGCGCGTAGGTGCGTTTTAATTTCGGGGCCTGCTATGCTATATGCAGATGTATGCAAATCGGGCCCCGCTCCAGCAAACCGCGGCCGAAGAGACTAGGTCGCTCCGCTCGTCGTCGGTCCCGCGTAATGCAAATCAGGGGGTTCAAAAGAACTCGGAATTGACGTCAGCTCGCCGAACGTGACGCCATTGGCGACGTCACGGCGTTCTGTTTGCAGAAGCATCCAGGTAGAAGTGTCGGGTGGCGCCGGTGGGAGCTGTCCTTCGCCTTCTCCGTGCGCAGCTGCCGCCTTCGTTTTGTGCCGCTCGGCCATCGAAGGCGACGCGTGGCATCGGTCACTACATGCACTAATCGCGCCTTCCCTGCAGCGGCTCCCACGTGGTACTTGGAGGCCAGCGGAGTTGTCACGGCTGACAGCTCTCATCCGCGTGGATCCTTTCCACAGCGATCGCGGCCTGATGGTGCTTCACAGCCAACCCAGAGTGGCAGTAAGGAATGCCTCTCTCCTTCTGTCTAGCACCGGGGTATATAACTTGGTGGCAGAAGGTACCCAGGTCAGTTGCAGCAGGAAAAGACCCCTCTTAGCTCGAGTTCTTGAAGAACTGTCTGCCTTTTAAATTGTAACAACTTCAAGCCTGACTTAGGAAGGCTGACCATCGAAAGGACTGAGGAGGCTTCTTCTGTCCTGCAGGAGCGAGCGGTGAAGTCCTGCGGTTCCAGCCACGATGGCATTGCCGACAGCGCCTTCCTTCTGGAGCGGCCGCAGCAGGGCCCTCGAGCAGCAGCTGGTGCGCCACCGCGAGCAGGAGGCTCGCTTCAGGAGGCAGTGGGAGCTCAACAGCCTCTACTTTAAGCAGTCCGGGGTCTACAGCTCAAAGCAGGCCCAGTGGAGCTCACGCCAGTCCTATGAACAAAGGTGAGAAGCCTTGTCCCCCTCCTTGGCTTGCTCCCTGCCTGTATCCCAAGGGCTTTTGCTGCACCGCTGAGCAGCTCGGCGTTTTGACTGCTCGTGCCCCTCTGCGAAGCACCCCATGAACCCCACCCACAGGTCTGGATGTGCACGTGGTGACAACCCAGGCTTAGCACAACAGCATTCACACATCACGCTACCCCAGCGTTCGGCAGCTCATGCCATGGATTAGCACCGTGTGTGAACCAGGCCCGTGAGTCTTGACAGATGCCCCATTCAGTTGAAGCCAAAGTAAAACAGTGGAGTCACTGGAAGAGGCACGTTCCGGGCCCTTCTTCAGAGCCAACCTGAGAGCACCAAGGACAGGGCTGGGCGCTCCGTCCGTCTTGCGAAAGAGAGGGCCAGGGGCGTCTTTAGAAACTTCACTTGAAGGCCGCCATCTGCCTTTGGTAGGATGCCGACTCCCTCTCTGCTCTTTCCCGTCTGCCAGCATGAATGCTTATCGCCGCGAGAAACTCAAGGAAGAGAAGCGCATCAGCCTGGAGCGGAGGCGCAGGCAGCTCCAGGCCCTGCTCTTCGAGGAGCGCGAGATGCTGGCGACGGAGCTGCAGGCGCTGCGGCTGAACAAGGACACGGACCTGAGCAAGATGCGGCAGAAGACGGAAGACCTGAAGTCGGCCAGGGAGGAGCAGCGAAAGCAGGTCTCTCTCGCGGGGAGCCTTTCCTCCTTCGCCCACACGGAGGGGGGAGCCATGTCCCCTGCTGGGTCTGAAACTTTGGCTGAGAGGCAGGGCAAGCCGGAGCAGCCGCAGGGCAGGTGTCCCCAGTGCTGCCGCCTCACCTCTCCCCGCTCATCGCACTCGCCAGTCGCGATACGTTCCCAGAGGGCCTGGGCACGTGGCCTCAGGTGCCGCTGAGAGCAAGAGCCCTTTCAGGAAGGTTGGCTGCTTCTGCTTGGTTAACAGATCGCTGAAGACCGTCTGTACGAATGCTGGAAGAAGAACAGCGCGAAGCTCCGGGAGGTGAGAAATGGACAGACACAACCATGGGGGCTGTTCTCCCCGGGAGTGGGTGTCGGAACCCTGGCTGCTGTGGCAGCTGGGCCCTGTTGCACGACACCCCTTGTCACTGTGGGCTCTCTCTGTGCCTGTTTTTTAAAGGGAGGCCACCCGGCAGTCCACGGTGGGCCTCGTCAGGGAGCTGGGGCAGGTGAGGCCGCCTCCTGGACTCACAGCGGCCTGTGCGGGCCTTTCCCCCAGCTCAGACCCCGGCCCCGGATGGCGCCAGGTTCGGGTTGGGCCTCTCCCCTCTGAGCAAACTGGCCATCCCCAGGGGAGAGGAGGGCAGCACCGGCAGGCCCTGAGCCCGCCTCCTGTGACCCTCTCCCCAGGTCGAGTCCGAGCTGCACAAGCAGCACGTGGTGGAGGCCTGGGGAACTCAGCTGAGCCAAAAGCAGCAGGTAGGCAGGCCTTCCCTGGCCCACTCTGAGCCGCCCCCGCCCCCCGGTCCGGCACGCCTTTTTGGCATCGCGGGGCAAAGGGGCCATCGCAGTGGCTGCAGGGAGGGTGATGCTCCTGCCCGGTCTCCACCCAGCGAGAAGCAGCCGAGCGGGAAGAGGAGAGCCGCACGGAGAACGAATACGAGGCGGCCCGCAGGGAAGCCCTGGAGAGGCTGAAGGAGCAGGAGGAGAGGCGGAGGCAGGACAGGCAGCGGCAGGCGGAGCTCCTGCGGCAGCAGGTGGAGGAGCTGCAGCTGCGCGAGGCAGAGGTGGGTGCTGCGGCTCCTGGGCGGGACAAGCCCCCTCTTGGCCCCGCTCTGCACGGGGGCCGGCCGACGGAAGCGTGGTGCAGGTGGTCCCGAGCGCCATCGCCTGCGCTCTTCTGCTTCTTCCGGGGCGGCTCCCGGGGATGGGGAAGGCCCCTGAAGATGCAGGAGAAAGCGCTGCTCCCGGCTTGCCACAGGTCTGGAGGGGCAGAAGGGCAGTCCGTGAGCACTAGTGGGGGGGGCCTCAGGTGCAGGCCCGTGGCTTGGGGCCCCCTTCTCCGAGCAACCCGTGGGAGCCAGCGGGTGCAAGTGCTGAGCAGCCCCTGCCGTTTGGGATGAATGCTCCCCCCGGCACTTCCGGGGCAGCTCCGCCGTCTCCCTTCTGGAATGGTCCCCTCCCTGATGGAAGCTGATGGATCCTGGTTTGTCCCAGGCTGCAAAACTGAAGAAAGAGGAGGAGAACCTGCTGAGGCAGCACTGGGAGTTGGAAGCCCTGGAGGGGGAGCGCAGGCGCCAGGAGCAGAACAGGAAGAAGATCGAGCTCGGGTACGGGGGGCAGGGGGCTCTGTGGGGGGTGGCTGTGGCCTCCATGCGGAGTGGGGCTGGGCACAGAGGCCTGCCGGGGCTGTCCGCAGTTTTGAGCTGATGTGTTGTCCCGGGAAGCCCCGGCTTCGTCCCGCCGGCTCACCGCACCACTGCCGTCGATGCGAGGCAGCGTGTGCGGGTGCAGGCGCTCTCCCCCGCCCAGAGCGCTGTACCTGCGCACTTCGACGGGGCCCTGGCAAAGGCCCGGGCCTCGCGTGGCGTCTGGACGGCGCGTCCTGCACCCGCCTGCGAATGACGCGGGGCCTCTGCTCCCCCTCGCTCGGCAGGCGCTTCCTGAAGCAGCAGTGGCATGCCCAGCTGAAGAGGCGGGCGCAGCAGATCCAGGCGGACCTGGTAAGCCGCTCGCAACGGGAGCGGGGCGGGCGGCAGCACGGGGGTGGCGTGGCCGTGCCGGGGACACCTTCGGCACACCTCCACTGCCGGGCGAGGCCGGCACCACCGCAGCAACCCCGCTACCGCCCTGCCGGCCCTGCCGCTCTTCCAGCGGCCTCAGGCAGGAGCTCCGGCTCGGGGCAGAGGGGAAGGCCCCCCGCGGCCGGGCTCGGGGGCCAGCAGTCGGCCCGGAGTGAAGGGAGCGGCCTCTGTCCCCCTCCCAGGAGAAGGACAGGCAGATCCTCCAGGCCCTGGCCGAGGAGGAGGACGAGGAGCAGCGCCTGCAGTCCGCCCGGCGGGAGCGGGCCGTGGCCGCCGTGGCCTGGATGAAGGAGGTCATTGAGGAGCAGCTGCGGCTGGAGAGGGAGCGGGAGGCCGAGCTGGAGACCGTCTTCAGGTGCGGGCGGGGGCGGCCTGGCCTGGCCTGCTGCGGGGGCGGGGGGGGCGGGGGGCAGCCCCCCCCGGCGACGAGCGCCCGTCCTTCCTGCCGCGTTCCTGCTCGCCTGCCTGCAGGGGCAGCCGCCATTCCCCGCCGCGCTCTCTCTGCCCTGCAGGGAGGAAGCCAAGCAGGTGTGGGAGAGGCGTGAGCAGCAGTGGGCGCGAGAGCAGGAGGCCCGGGACCGACTCATGGCAGAGGTGCGTGAGCTCTCCTCAACATGCGGCGGGGGGGGGGAGCCGCCCCCGGGCCTCCCCCCCGTCACTCTTCCCTGCCCTCCTCTGGCCCCAAGCAGGTCCTGGCGGAGAGAGCGCGCCAGATCCAGGAGAAGGTGCAGCTGAACCGCCGGGCGCAGGAGGAGTCGGTGCAGTGTCGCGAGCAGCTGATCCAGGGGCTGGAGGAGGCCAAGCGGCTGCTGCGGCTCGAGAAGGAAGGGGAGACTGTGCTGAAAACGGCGCGCAGGCGGGAACTGGAGGCTCAGGTGGGGGCCCCCGGCTCAGCAGCCCCTGCCCTGCCCCCCCCGGCCCTCAGCGTGTGGGCGGCGGGAGGCCTTGGTCCCTCTGCCGGGCGACGTCTCTGCCGACCACGCGGCCCGTGAGAGGCGCTCCGCTGCCGCTGCCGAGGCCTGATGTCTTCCTTGCACGGGCCCGCAGCTCACGGAGCGCCGGCTGCGGGAGCAGGAGGAGCGCGAGCGCCAGCGCCAGGAGGAGGCCGAGGCCCGTCTGGAGGAGCAGCGCCACGAGGCCCTGGAGCAGCTGGAGGCCAGGCGCATGGCGGAGCACGGCTATCGCAGCAAGGTGAGCCGCCGGGCCTTCCGGCTGTCGCACTCTCGGCCTGCCCTGCGGCGGGGGGGGGGGGGACTGGCCCGGTACGCTGCCCCATCTGTCCGGCGTGCAATCCGCTCCTGCAGGCTTCCAGTCCGCCAAGCATTTGTGCACAAAGAGCTTGCTTGCGCGCCCCGGGGTGGCTGCCGCCCCGCACCTGCCCTCTTGGTCCACGGCTGGCGCAGAGCGGTGCCTGGAGCGCCCTGTGACGCCGACGGCCCTCCTCACGCCTGGGGCGCTCAGTCGAGGGCTGCTGGGAGCACGGACGGAGCACCTCCCTCTGCTCTCTTCCAGCCCCACAGCTGCCCCAAGACGGCCTGGGCTTAAAGGTCGCGGCAGCAGTGAAGCCTGCCCAGTGCCCGGCTGGCGACTTCCCGATGTCCTTGTGGCAGTGGTTTGCGAGGTGTGTCCTGTGGGGCCTCGCGGAGCGGGTGCAGAAGTCGGAAGCAAGCCCAGGCTGTGCCAGGGGGTGCGAGCTGCGTGATGGGTGCGCGATGACCCTTTCTTCTGCCGGACTCCGATTCCTCCTGGCCTGCAGCAGAGGCGGCTGCACGAAGTTCTGTGCTGGAGACTGCACCGAGGGACGGGCAGCGGCCGACCGCCGGCCGGCCCCATCTGCACCTTCCTGGCCTCCGGCAGGGACCAGCGCGCGCCTGCGAGGGCCTTGCTGGCTCGCCCTCCGGTCTCTGGCGGGGACGCGAGAGGGGTCAATAAAGCTTCGTTTGGCACTTCCCGTGTCTTTCCCTGCAGCAGGAACAGCCGCTGCCTGGCCCGTTCTCCCCCGAGCTGGAGAGCCCCTGCCCTGGGGTGGGGCGGGCACCGCTTCACCCCGGCTGCGCCCTCCTCTCAGTGCAGGCAGCAGTGGCCAGTGGCCCGAGCCAGGCAGCTCTCTCTCGCCAGGTGCAGCCAGGCCGCCGTCCCTCCTCGCAGCAGCTCCCGGCGGGAGGGCACTGGTCAAAGAGCGGCTTGGCCGAAGGCTGCTAAATGCGTTCTTCAGCATATGCTGGCCGAGGATGATGGGAGCCGTTATGCAGGACAGCCAGGAGACACCGGAATGGGCGCGCTGGGGTGCCCTTGCGGTACCTGGCCACCTCTGAGCGTGTCCCTGCGGAGGCAGCAGGCGGGTCTGGGTCCCCGGAACCGGCAGATGGGCTCCGGCGGTGCCCCCGACAGTCCGGAGGTGGCCTAGGGCCCCCTCGTGGCACCGGTGGGGGGCAAGCGGCCGCCCTGCTCTTGCGCGAGGCGTCCCCACGCGCCACTCCCTCCAGCCGCCACGGGCCCTCCAGGCGAGCAGGACACGGCCTCACACGCGACCAGCGCAGGGGAGCAGCGGCCTGGGAGCGCTTCGGGAGGGCAGCCGGCCTGCGCTGGTCGCAGCAGGGAAGAGAAGAGACACGCCATGAAAGAAGGCAAAAGGAACGCTCTACCTATTTGTTTTAACCCAAAAATAGTACAATACTTTTAAAAAAGGCAGTTAATTACAATGTAACATCAGCATCCAACAATATTATGGCACTTGATTTTAATATATAAATACCAACAGGGTAAATCACACACGCCCCTCCTTCCCTCCCGCCGCCCCCCCGCTGCAACTTGGGCGGATCCTTCCAGAAACACGAGCCCCCGCCCAGCAGACCTGGAGCCACGGAGCGGCCGGCCCGTTTTATCCCGGGAGGGGGGCTGAGGGCTCGGCCACGGGGCCGATCGTGTCTCTCGCCAAGGGGGTGCAAGAACGGGCTGGAAAGGGCAGGCAGCCTTCCTCCCCTTCGGGGCCAGCCCCCCCTCGCTCCCGGCCCCCTCAGCCACCGCCACCATGCGGGCAGGCTCTGCGGGGGCCTGGGCTGGCTCTGTGACCGACTGCACCGGGAGGGTCGGGGCTGCCCGAGGACCTGCGGAGACGGCCGGGTGCCCAGCGCCGACGCCTGGGGCTCCCCGCTCAGCGCAAGGCCGTCCCCCCACCCGGCCTCCCCTCCCCTGCGGGCTGCAGCAGGGCCGCCTTTCCCGGCACGCCGGCCAATGCTGGGCCTTGTGCTTCTCTGAAGGAATTGGCTACGCTGGAGAGGGCGTGTGGGACTCAGACATCCAGCATTCCCGCCCAGCGTGGGCAAGCGGAATGATGTGAGTTGTAGTCAAGCACACCCGGAGGGGGAGGGGAGGCCGAACGAGACCGCGCCTTCCCCACGCAAGCCGAGCCGAGCGCGACTAAGGCTCCCTCGGCTTGACGCGGCGCATGGGTCAGGACATGGCGCTGCAGCGTGCGGGGACACCAGCCGAACCGGCCTGGGGCACCCCTCGTTTGAAGCGCTGCTGCCCACAGACAGCCACCCTGGCCACTGACCGCCACTCTCCCTCCAGGAGACACGCCAGTCCTCTGCTAGCCATCGTCCCTCCGCAAAATCCACCCACGCACCGACTCGGCATCCCGAGGCTTCTCGCAGGGCGGAGCAAGGGGCTTGTGCCAGGAGGAGTGCCAGCCACTCCGCCCCTCTGGGCGCCTTTCGCTTGACTTCCTGGCCGCTGGTCCCTGGCGGCTGCACACCCCCCCGACCTGGTGCCGCTCTCCCCCTCCGTCTGCTCAAACACACAAGGAAACTGACCGGAGAAAACGACACAGACAGCCCGAAGAGCACACATGAGAGAAAATGACTACAAAATTTGCCCAATTTTCTGGGGGGGGGGGAATGGGGCGGCAAACCAGTGGTGGCCACTCCGACGTGAGGCTTGGACACGTGGAGCAGTGGCCACCGGCACTTGTAAGGCTGAAATCGCAAAGAGCAGCGAGGGCTTCTGCTGCTTCTGCCAAGCGGCACGTTCACCAGTCCCTGCACCCATGTGCAAATCGCTCTGCTGGGGGCACGACAAGTCCCTGTGGCTCAAACGGCCCCTAGAACCACCGGCCACTCTGCGGGAAGCCGTCTCAGCTGGCGTGGTACAAGCACCAGACACCAGGCTCATCATCCACAGTGGGCTGCTGAGCTGTGAACTTGGGGCCGTTTGTGGTTAACACCCCATCTAATAGCCCCTCGAACAACCCATGATTAAGTGGCAAGCAACACAGAGACCTGCACCTTCCCTCGCCCCCTCCATCGCTTCCGCGCCTTCCCCCAACGTCGGACTGACCTCACGCAAGCCCGCCTTCCAGAGCTGTTGGCCCGCAAAAGCGTCCCAGCTGGTCCGCGCCTTCGGAGGTGGCGGGTGCGGAAAGGCCGGGCTGGGCCGCCTGCACAGCCAGCACGGCGCTCCAGCTCGACGCTTCCCGCATCCGAGCACCGGCACCGCGCCAGCGAGTCCCCCGCCCGGGCAGGAGGGCGGCGCGGACGGCAAAGCATTTCCTGCGCTGGGCAGGAGGCGAAGCTCAGCAGCATGTGCCACATCAACGGCCTTTTCCGACAGATCCAGAAAATCCGCTTCCCACGTGGGGCATAAGGAGCACAGTGGGCCAGCTGGAGACGAGGAGAGGGGCACGGCCGTCCCTGTTGCTCCTGCCCCCCCGCCCCGTGGCCGAGCGGAGGAGGGAGGGGCTCCAGAAGCCGCGGAGATGAGGGCCAGGCCGGGTGGTGCCACGGCACGCGCCACTTGGTGGTTTGAGTGTGTCCCTGGGTTGCGCAGCAGGGCTCCCGGAGGGGCCTGGACGGCAGCATGTGCCTCTGTGCCCACAGCTGCTGCGGGGAGAGCAGGATCCGCACCCTGCCCCGCCCCGCCCTGCCCAGCAAGGGGGATGCCTTGAGAGCGGGCAGTGTGCGGGCAGGCGGGCGGGCTCAGGCCGGCCCCCGACACACGGGCGCTCTGCACGGGCTTCACAGAATAAGGCAGTGGGCTACAGGAAACCTGGGGAGAGGCTCTTTAGAAAAAAACATGCAAGGAAATTTAATACTGAGGTTCCTTAAAAAATAATAATAAAGGTAATGCTCCACCTTAAATACTCCTGTAAAAAACGCACACAAACGCGAGCCGCCCGTGGTGGGGCCCCGGCGGAGACGCTCGGCCAGCCGGCCTCAGTTGGTGTTCTCCTTGGTGGTGACGGTGACGAGCTGCTTGGCGGCCTTGGCGATGTCGTAGGCGCACTGGATGACCTGCTGGGTGACCAGCTGGACGTCGGCGGTGGGGCAGGAGTCCGGGGCCAGCGCCTTGGCGCACTCGGAGTGCAGGCGGAAGGCACTCGCGGTCAGCAGCCGCAGGGAGGTGCGCACCAGCTCCGAGCGGGGCTTCTGGGGAGAGAGCGGGGCTTCTGGTGACTGGCAGGCCTCGCGCCCGCGCTCTGGAGGAAGACGGGCCACGGTGGCGTGCGCGGCCCACTTCCATCCTGGCCGACACACATTCCAGGGGCTCTGCGCTTCAGCCTAAACGGGCAACCCGCGAACAGGGCGGTAGGGAGTGCCGGCCGCATCCAGGGAGCCAGCTGGGCTGCGGGGCCCCGCCGAGGGCTCACGTGGTGGCCAAGCCCTGGGCGCCACCCAGGGATGCAGCAGCGACTGCGCCGCTTTCGGCACTGTGTCGGGCCCTGGGTGTTGGGTGGGGGACACCGCCACATCCCAGCGGATTAAGTAAGGGGCTTCCCCAAAGTGGCGCCCCCAGGTGTTCCAGACAGCTCATCCGAGGGTTCCCGTGCGTTGGCCAGCCAAGCCGGCAACGTTAGGAATGTTAGTCCACGGCACCCATCAGCCCCACCAGCCGGCAGGACGGCTGGGGGCTGCACCACTCACCTTCGGAAAGAGGGCGGCCATCTCCGTCACTGCCACGTGGATCCTCTCGGAGCAGGGCACATAGCTGCAAGGGGAAGCGGCGGTCAGGGCGCCCGGCGGCAGCAACGCGCCCCCCACCCCTTCCCACCACCACCACCACATGTGCCGTTAGTCACTCTGGAGGCACACCGGTTAATGCAGGGGCACCCACACGGCACAGTCCTCTGCAGTCTCTGGGCAAGCCGCACGCCTGCTCACGGGGAGCGCGGCCAGGGAGCCGGGTACCGCAGGAGGCGAAGGGGCAGGCAGGCAGGCAAGCAAGCGGACGGTTCCCCGAGGGCTCGTGTGGCTGGTGAGACGCGTGGCACCACGGTGTCTGACAAGTGCGGCCGCCCGCAAGCCCAGAACCCACGCTCGGGTTCGACGCCCGCAAGAAACGCAGAACTGCCGTTATGGGGACTCGCTGCGCCGGTTAAGGGCGGCCACTGCGATCCGCCAGCTTTCAGAGCCACACAGGCTGGGCCAACGCAGGTGTGCGCCACCGGCCCCAGGGCTGGCCAGGTGAGGGGTGCGAGTATAAAAAATGTCTGTGGCACATTTATAGCTTTGTGCGATCCAGAGAACCGAGAGGACTTTTCCTTTCCGAGCGAGTTATGTGAAGGTCAGCCATGCTGAGCTGGGGACAGAGGCCGCTCCCCGCAGTCCGTGTTATTCCCTGGAGCCGAAACCAGCAAGCAGCTTGGCGAGGGCACGGGGGCGATTCTGCAAGGCAAAAGCCCTGTGGGGGAGGCAGCGGCGTGGAGCCAGGCCTGCAGTCCCGTTGGGCAAAGCCTCTCGGCAAGCCAGCCCTGTCTGGTATATCCGCCCCCTGCGGCAATGCCATTCTTGGGGGGGCGGGGGGAGGGTAAAAGGAAGCCGAGTGGTTCACATTTGCATGGCGCCAACCAAGCGGGGAGGCGGAACAGCACTTGCAAGACTTCGGGTCCAGATTTGGCCCTTCTGGTGCTGAAGATTTAAGGCACGGCCCAAGCAGCCCTTCTCCCATCGATCACATTGCTCAATTAGTCTTTCTGAAAGATGCCACTACACAGCAGAGGATGCAGCTCGCTTGGCCGAAGGGGTGGGGGTCCTCCTTTTATACACCACCCCCAGGCCCAGGCCGCTCTCACACGTGTCCCACTGCAGCGCCACAGGTGCGCGTCCTGCACTTCTCCCCACCCACGGCGCTCAGGTGCACAGGTCGCGCACCTGCCCACGGAGAACATCTTGTGCACCTGAAGTGGCTGGGAGACCACCGAGGCTTCTGTCGTGCCGGCTTGGCTTGCTTTTAAGCGGCCACAGGTCTCCATTCGGTCACTTCTACAGTGCTTTCGAGCCTCGCCAGGCACGGCAGCCTCTGCTTTTGCACGGCAATTAGGGGCACAGGGGTTTTCTGTCTGGTTTCGGAGTGGGGGAACCGAGCGCTCGATGGGACGGGGGGGGGGCAGGACGGAAGGGCATTTCCGGGGCGCCGCTCTCAGCAGTGAAGAGGGAGGAGGAGCACTGCGGCGGCATGAGGGAACACACGGCCGTCCCGCAGAGGCAGTCCAGAACCTCTCGGGGGTCGCACGGTCCCCATCCGTGGCTTTTTCCTGCATCCGAAAAGGTGCCTAGGGCCGGCCCCCTTAGCGCCTGGCCCGCCTCAGCCCCCCAGCAGCTCTGCGGGGCCAGAGGACCCAGAGCAGGCCAGCCTCTGAGCAGCTCCAGAGAGAGAGGCTTCCCCTCCCGCCTGCCCGGCCCCCCCACCCCTGGCCAAGCTCAGGACGCAGGCGGCTCGAGGATGCAGGGGGGGGGCACAGCACTGGACTCACACGGAGCAGAGACATGCGGGACGCATGCAAGCGGGCCGTGGACGATTATGCAGGAAAGGGGCTGGAGGCGTGGCTGGGCAGGACCACGTCCACACAGGACCACGTCCCCTCGAGCTCCCCGGAGAGGAGGGTGCCGGGAAGGAGAGCCAAGGGCAGCGGTGGGGTCCAGGGGGTGGCCGGCCACGGCCCAGAAGGGACTGGCTCTGGGGCTCCGAGCACTCCTGCGTGCCCCCGAGGCGCCTGGGAGGAGGGGCCTGTCGCAAGCCCCTTCCCACTCCAGGGTCCCTGGGCGTGTCGGGACCACGGGGCCTCTCGGGTCCCTCTGGAGTGGGGGGCTTGACCTCCGGACCCTCCCCCTGCCAGAAGGCCTGCTGGTCTCGCCACTCTCCCTCCTGAGCTCGCCGTGGGGACGTGGGTGGGGCAGTTAAAGGGCTGCCCTGTCTCAGGCGGCCCCAGCCGGCTGCCACGGCACAGGCCTGCGAGGCTCCGGGTCGTTTACACCGGAGGGAAAGGCCCCAGAGAGAGCCTTGGGATGGGCGAGGAGAGGGCACCGGGACACCCCAGCCTCCCTCTGCGTGCCGTGGGGGAGCCCGCCCCCCCCGCCTGCCAGACCACGCTGCCTGGCGCAAAGAGGGGCTGGGCCTGCCCCGGACACGGCCCAGCCCCTCTGCCAGCCGGTGGGGGCCCAGGCCGGGCTCCCCGCAGCCCTTCTTGCATAACCGCCCACTGCTCCGTGCCGGGTGCGGGGGGGGGGTGCTGGCAGAGAGAAAGAGGAGGCACTGTGCCTGGGAGGCAGGGGCAAAGGCCGGAGTACCAGGCGGCGGGGTCTGGCTGCTGCAGGGTCAGAGGCCGCAGGGACGCCCGCTCGGCCCACGGAACCAGGCTGCCAAAGCAGCCCAGGCTGTGCCTGAGCTTGGGCCCGCCGGCCCGCCCAGCCGGCCTGCTTGCCCGGAGGAGAACGAGAGAGAGAGAGAGACAGGAAATAAAGGGAGAAGTCAGCTAGGGGGCCCCACCGTCTGAGAGCCCCGGCCAGGCGTGGCGCAGCGTGGGGGGGACAGTGGCCCGGCTGGGAGAGCAGCGGGGGCTGCCGGCCCTCTGGCCCCACCGCGTGCGCACGTGTCCCCCCACAAGCATGACCCGCGCCTGGATCCTGCCGCTCCGCTCGGGAGGCCGCACAGACGAGGCTGCAGCGGGGCCACAACCAGCACCTGCCACCGCACTGGGCAAGGGAGCCTGCGGGGTGGGGGGTAGCTGCCGGCGGAGGCTGTCGTTTCGGCCGGGTGGGAAAGAGCAAACTCTGACGCACACCGTCTGGGAACGGCTCTCGCCTGCAGAGCCTTCTGGCACTTTGGGGGGCATCGTGGGGGGCACTTGTGCTCAGGCCGGCCGGCCGGATCCCCCCCCGGCGCCCCCGGCCGCTCACCTGTCGTGCTTGTTCTCCTGGGCCGCCCGCAGCAGCTCCTGGATGTTCTTCGTGATCTGCTCCGTCTTGCGGATGACGTCCTCCGTGCTGGGGAGGCTGCTGCTGGAGATGGCCTCGGGGTCCTTGCCCTCCGAGAGGGGCCCCTCCCCGTGCCGGAAGGCAGTCCGCTGCCGGACCTTCCTGCCGAGCCTGCCGGCACACGAGGACGGGGCCCCGTCAAGCTCCCCGCTCCCCCGAGCGGCCGCAGCGAGGCCACATTTCTTATGGCTGAGCGGACAGGCGCCCCTGGGCGACGGACGCGGCTGCGCAACCTCGGGGGTGTGGCGCCGGCGCCGGCCGAGGGCCCTCCCTGCCTCGCGTCCTGCTCCCCCCGTGGCCAGCCAGGCGCCCCCGGAAGCCGGGCCCAAGCAGCGCCCGAGCGCAGCAGCTCCCTCCGGCCCGTCCTCCCCAGCCACTTGCCGGCTGCAAGCACCCCAAAATCCGTTCTCCATTTCTTCTGGCTAGATGGGGATGGGTGCCCCCCAGCACGGGCCACAGAGCCCCTCCAGGAAGCCTCGGTGGAGGTTCTGGCCCCTGCTCTCCTGCGTTCGCTTCGCGAAAATGCAGCTGGGCTTAATTGCCGAGCCGCCCGAAGGGAGCCGCTCTGTGAGGCTCCCACTTGGGGCGCCTGGGGGACTGTGCAGGCTGGGGGGGGGCCGGAGCCGTGCCACGGTCAGCGTGGGGCGGCACCAGCGAACAAACACTGGATGCCGCGCCCACAAATCAGACGTGGCGGGCGCATGCAGAGGGAACGGCGGCCACGGGGTTCTGGGTCACGCAAAGGGCCACCTCCGCCAGCGGGCGCGGCCTCCATGGCATGCACACGCCCTCCCCGTGCCGTGGGCCCCCCCCACAGCGTGGGCGCCCGGCCCATCCACCAGTCAAAGCGTGGAACCTGCAGGCCCTCGAGCCACACCTGGGGACCGTGCGCACCGAGCAGAGCGCGCCTGCAGGGCCCCTTCCTCGCTACCAGCGTGTGCACGTCCTCCCGTGTGCCGGCGCGCGGGAGAGCGCCTTTGAGCAGCCGGCTGCCGCCCCCCCCGGGTGTGGGGCCGCCCCCCGGTGCCTGCCTACCCCGTCTCGTCCAGCTCCAGGGCGGGGACGGTGTTGTCGTAGTCGCCCTCCGGCAGGCTGCTCTGCTTTTCCAGTTTGGAGGCCTGGAGGAAGGAGAAACCGAGGGGTGAGGGGAGGGGGTGCCTGGAACCGGAGGAGCACCGGGCCAGCCCGGGCTGCTCTGCCCGACCGGCACCGGCCCGAGCCCGGGCTCCTCTCCCGCTGGCTGCTGGGTCATTCCAGGGGACGGGCCGGCCTGCTGCCCCGGCCGCCCGCCCTTCCTCCCAGCCAGTTTCAGCCTCTCCCAAAGGCCCTCCGGCGTGTGCAGCAGGCGGGGAAGGGCACAATCGCCGCACTGGAGTGCACGACGCATCCAGAGGTACGTGCCGCAAAGTATCTGATCGGGAGCATTAAGCATCAGTCCAGAAGGAAGCGTCAACGCAGCTCCGTGAGGGATACCGAGGCACGGCTGTGCACTCCGATTTTGCCAGGGAGGTGCCAGAGGTACAGGCTTCCCGCTGGCAAGGGGGGCCAGCTGCCTCTCCGCTAGGGTCCCACAGCGCCCCCCACCCCGGCTTTCTCCCCCTCTCTGCCACCCGTGGGCTTCCGGGGACGGAGCACTGTCCGCCTTCCGGGCCAGACGCGGCCCCCCGTCACCAGCACGGGGCCACCTGCGGGTGGCAGCCCCCAGACGAGCCGGGGGCCACGCAGGGCAGGCCCCAAGAGGGCTGCCACGGGCAGCGGTTGCCCTGGGGTGGGAGCACATGGGGTTTGCCCCTTGCTCGGCATCGCACCCTCGCCGACACCGACCGAGCCCTCCGGCACCCGTTGCCACGTGCTCCAGCACCCTTGCACCACGCGGGCCCCCACTCCCAGAATCCCCCAGGCCAGAGAGCACGGCAGGCAGGCGTGAAGGAAGCAGGCAAGCGGGGGCCGGCAGCCGTGCGCCACAGCCAGGCGGGCGTGTTGAGCCGAGCCCGGCACAGCGGGGCCCTCTGCAGCCGCTGCGGGGGCGGCAAGCGGGGGCGGGCGACGGGGGAGGCAGCGGGGCGGGTGGGCGCGATACTTACATGGGGAGGGAACGGCTGGAGCCGCGATGTGATGCGCTCCTCGGGGTAGGAGACCTCAGCTAAGGGCAGGTAGGGCTTCGGGGCCGATCCTGTCTCATACATCGACATCGGCCGGCTGCTCCGTGCCGAGGGCCGCCGCATGAGGGAGGTGTGGCCGCCGGCATCGGCGTATTCCGAGCCGGACGGCGTCTGGTAGGCGCTGGTGGAGGCCTGCCGCCGAAGGCTCGTGTTTTCGCTCTGCAGCGTCTGAAGCTGGAACGACACGGTTCAGAGCAGGCTTGCAAGCGCCACGAGCAAACCGGGGAGTGGGAGGCCCGGGAGACGGAGCCCCTGGCTGAGATCTGGGGTCCTCTCTGCGCTGGGGGAGAACAACGGAACGGATCGGACTCTTCAGAGCTGGGTTTGAAGCAGGCGGAGCGGGCCGGGCCGGGCACAGGCAGCTGCTCAGGCCATGCTCCTTGGGGGCGGCAGCCCACGCCCCGTGACCTGCGGGAGGCTCAGTCGGCAGGGGGCGGCCACATCACACGCCCACGGCCCGGCGGCAAGCGGGGGGAGGCGCACCGAGCGACGCGAAGCAAGAGGCAGAGCCGGCAGAGCGCGCGAGGCTGCGGGGCTCAGAGGGGGACTCGTCCCGCGCGTCCTCAAGCGAGCGACGGGCGCCATTCGCCGGCAGCGGCAGCAGAGCGCTTCAGGCTTGCACCCGTGGCCTGGGGTTTCCCCTCGCTTTGCCCATCTCTAAGGAATGAAGCCGCCCCCACAGCTGCTACAGACGCTGCAGGTGAGGAGCTGCCGAGCACGGGGGGCTCGCGCCTCTCGGCCGGCTTGGAGAGGCTGTCTCCGGGTCTTGGCACATCCCGGCTCCTTCGGGCACCAGTCTGTGGCGAGCCGAGGGACCACTTCCCGCCCGGCCACTGCATCTTCCTGGTGGCTCCCCACACCAACGCACCGGCTCCCGCCTGCTCTGCTAGCGTGCCCGAGGCCCTGGCGAAAGGGCGAGGGGGCCCTCGCAGGGGTCCTCTCATGGGACTTGGGGGAAGACCAGGAGTGGGGGGGGCAGCACGGAGCAGCGGACTGGGAAAGGCGTGGGGCAGGCCAGCGCGTCTACAGAAGCCGCCCTGGCCCCAGGCAAACGCCCCCCCATCTGCCGGTGGCGACTCGGCGCAACAGAGCTGCGCGCCCCAGACCGGAAGGGCAACCCGAGGCTCCAGACCCGAACCGCTCAGCCTGGAAGGGGCCAGCCCGTGACCCCGTGGCACCGACTTTTCTCAGAGGGGTAGCTGAGGCCAGGGAAGCCCCGAGGAAGCCGGGGGCCACGCGAGCAGGAGAACAAGGGGCAGACGGCGCTGACCCGCGGGGACTCTGCCTGGCATACTTCTCTCCTGCCACCCGGGGCTCTTCCGCAGCCCCTTCTCGCCTGGGAACCTCGCACTGGGCTGGGCGTCCCCAGCTCAGCAGGAGGAGGGCTCCCGCTGGATCCCACTCCTGCCGGGATCCAGAGCCCCGGAGCAACCCCCGGCAGGCACGACCGCCACCCGGCTGCTCCTCCACACCGGCCGGGATTGTGACCCCCCCCAGTTTTCCTGCAGTACTTCATGCACGGGGGCTTTGGGAGGGGGGTGGGCCGAGTGGGCGCTCTCCCGGGCTACCTTCTTTTGCATCGTCCGCAGCTCATCGCTCAAGTTGACGTTCACCTTCATCAACTGCTGGATTTTCGCTTCCGAAGCCACGAGAGCATTTTTAACCTGCAGGTACTCCTGGGCAGTGATGGGCCCGTCGGACAAGTCTGAATCCAGGCTCTGCAAGCAGACGAGAGAGACCCCCCGGCAGTCGCACACACGCCTCCGCTTGGAGGCACGGCAGACGGCGGCACGGTGGCGAGTCATCTCGTGGGACCGGGAAATAAATGCAGCCCGGATGCGTGGCACGCGTTGGAGAAGCCAGGCAACTCATGGGAGGGCCGGCCAAACGCAGCACGTGCAAAAAGCACGCCCCGTTCACGCGCCACGGGGGCCACCCTGCAAACAAGCTGCGTGCCACGGGGGGCCTCTCCTGGACAGAGCAGCTGGCCCACCGCAGCCTGCTCCACTCCCTCCTCCGTCTTATCCCAGCGTCCTTCCTGGCAGCCCTGGAAGTCGGAATGGGGGAGACATCGGCTCTCCCAGCCCCGCTTTCTACAGCTCCCTTTTCAAGCGGTTACTGAGGTTGCCCCAGACGCTCGCTCGGCTACCGAGCCCCCAACTCTGCCCCAGTTCCAGCTCCATCCACGCCTCTGCCTTTCAGTTCTGCAACTCCTCCTGATGGTTCAGGGGGGAGCCTGCAGCCCGCAAGGGTTTTAAATAAGTAAACGGGCACTGAGCACACACGCAGCCAGTTGCTTTCGCTTGCAGGCCCGGCTCTTCCTTTGCTAACGCAGGCCCCTTGGGAAGCCGAGAGGAGACCGAAAAGCGGGACGGAGAGGCAACAAGCAACTGCGGGCAGCACCCCGGAAGGGCCACGGGTGCACGCCTCCTCGCGGGACACTGTGCCGGTCTGAAGGCGGGGGGGGGCCCAGCTCCAGCCCGCCTTCCCCCGCCCGGGCGTTTGCGCCGGCTACCTTCTGCCGAGGTGCCTTGGCCGTGGCCGCATCCAGATCTGCGTCCTCGTCGGAGGCGACGCTGTCGTAGTCCGGCTGGTCGTTATCCTGAGCCTCGGAACTGTGCTGGCTGTTGATCGACTTCAGGATTAGTTCCACGTTTTCTGTAGAGGCAAGAAAGGGGAAAGGGGGCAGGGAGGTGTTTTGTTTAGGAAATGGACTCCAAATGCGGAGCCCCCAGAACCCTCTCACTGAAGAACGCAGTTTCCTGAGCTGTGCAGAGCAGCGAGCTGGGCAGGCGAGAGGCCTGGCAGGAGCCCAGCCGGACCGCACTCTGGCTGCCGAAACCGAGCGGCAACTCACCTTTGGAACCCGGGACGGGGCTGCCCTGCTGCCTCCGCTTGGCGTCCCCCAGAATGTCAATGACGAGTGTTGCAAACTCGTGGGCGTTAAACCGGGCCAGCTTCTGCCTTCCCTGGAGGGGGAGAGAGAGAGAGAGAGAGAGAGGAGCGCAAGCTCTCAGCGTGGCCTGCAGGGCGGGAGTGAAGGCCCAGCCCAGGCGGGGGACCATGGGTGCCGTCGCCCCCGCGTCTGCTGGAGGGACTCGTGTCCGTTGTCCTGCCCTGCATGTCACCGAGACCCCGACTGAGGGCAAGCACAGAGCCCTCGGCCGCCGCTGCCGCCAAAAGACCCCCTACAGGGTGAGCAACCAGACCCGGCTGGGACGCTTCCCCCCAGCCAGGCTGGAGCCACCTGCCCCCCGGCCCCCACCCCTGGCAGCTCTCCACCCAGGAAGAAGGGGCCCCACGCAGGGCGTTGACACGGCCTTCCCCCTCAGGCCCCAATCCGTCGACCGCAGGGAAATCGCCGGGGGACAGACCTGGTTCCTCGTGGAGGAGTACTCCGGATTGACCGGGAGGAAAGGGACCACCGTCGTCTCGGTGACCAGCGTGCTGTGGTTCTGCGTGGCCAGCCACACTGTTCCGGGAGAGAGGCGAAGGCGGGGCTAGCCACGCGCCGGGCCGAAGGCCACCGCTGCTGGGATGCGAGCCGCCTGGACGTCGCAGCTTCGGAGCAGCGGGCCCTCGCGCTGAGCCCACACGGCCGGGACACGGGGGGAGTCGCTGGCGGCGGGCAGGCGCCCCAGGCTGCCCCCCCACTGCTTGCCACGGTCCAAGCACCGCAGACCCCCCAACCTGGGCCCTGTGGGCACGCGAGCTTTCCTCCGGGACCAGGCAGCCGATCCTCCCATTCCCAGCATGCATCAGGAGCCTACTCTGAAGCAATCAGGAGCAAGCGCCACGGGCAACGCTGCCCCACATCAAGCTCTGCCCCTCGCCCCACCGCGTGGACGCCGACCAGCCCTGCATGCCACGCGGCCACGCCGTGGGCCTCCCCCAGCTCCCCTCTCTGCAAGCAGCCGCGTGGAACTGCAGGCGGGGAGCCACAGCCCGCCAGGGCACCGAGCAGGCGGCGGGGGCCGTGCCGCCTGGCGCCGGCCTGCCCGGAACGCGTGGCATCCGCACAGCTCCCCCGCCGGCCCACCCCACGCCCTGCGCGGGGGGCCCACCTGCGTCGGCCTCTCTGCGGTCCACCTCGTCATAGACGTCCATGGCCAGCTCCTCAAACAGGTGGTTGTTCAGCTGGAGGGAAAGAGCGGAAGGCGGAGGGAGGCGTCACGCCGGGCCAGGGGGCGGCTCGGCAGCGCTTGGGCTCTGCGGGCAGGAGGAGGGGGGCCCAGGACAGGCGCCTGCCCGTCCCTCGAGGGGCCAGAGAGGCGGCAGTGAGGCGCCCGCTCTGCCTCCTGGGCAAGCGCTCCGATGCAACGCGGCCCTCGGCGAACCCGGGGCCCCCATCCCAGGGGGCAGCCCCCAGGGAGTGCACGGCGGGGCCGCGGGGGGCAGGCCCCTCGACTCACCGACTGGAGCTTCTTCTTCGCTGCCTTGGCCAATTCAGACAAGTCGAGACTGCTGGAAGACAGGAAGCCGTCACTCTATCGGCAACACTCCCCCCGAGGAGCCGCCTCCACCTCCGGGCGCAAAGCCAGGCGAGGGCCATGGGAGAACGAGGCTGCCCACCCACCGCTTCTTGCCCAGGATTGGAACCGCGGTGGAGTCTCTTTCTCTACTGCATTTGCACCCTGATTTTTGGCCACTGGGTTCGAAAAATGGCTGACGTCGTCCAAAAAAGACAATTTTAACCACTCCCAGCAGCTCCACCCAAAGTCTGATGCCCAGCCTGGTCCGGGCACGTCAGGCGCCGCTAAAGGACGCTGCTGTGCCAAGAGCGCCCCTTGCAAGGCCTGGGCCATCGCGAGGCCCCCCGGCACAGCGGATGGCGCAGAAATGTCCACCGGGCAGCCCCCTCCCCGACTGCACGCGCCTTCCAACCGGAGGGGTCAAGGCCAAGGCACACGGGAGCGCTCAAAACTGACTGAGCCACACTCACGGCAGAAAGGGTCGCGGCTCGTCTTCCCGTTTTTTTACCATGGGTTTGATTATTCCAATTCACCGCATGCTTCAGAATATCTAAACTCATGCACCACGCAGACTGCCCTGCCTCCAGGGTCGTTTATTGCAAAATGCGGGCGAGGACATGTAACGATCAAATGAAGCGCGCACACACACCCACACCCACGCAGGAAACCACCGAAAGGTTTACTTACAGCCGTCTTAATCCCCGAGGAAAAGCAGCAAGGGGAGAAACGTGTTACCTGTTACACTTTGCGGATGCTCTTTGCTTTTCAGCGGCAGGTTTTAGACCCGTCCCCCCAGCGGCCAAGTCTTGGCTCCGAGCAGTAAAAAGGGGTCAGGCGGCGCTCGCACAAGGAAAGGGGGACTGAAGGGCAGCGCTCGGGCCGGCTCCCCGCTCCCGGCGGTCCCACGACTTCACGGCTGGAGGCGAGAGGCCGCCGCAAGGGCGAGGACCCGTGTCCCCAGCGCTCAGCCGGACTCTTACCTGTCCGCCATCTGAGGTATGATGAAATGCTGCCCGCTTTTGTGATCTGAAAGGGAAGTTCCAAGAGGGCGTGACGGGGGCTTGGGGAGCGTGTGCCCTCGCTCAGCCCTGGTCTTCAAGCTGCGCACGGCTTCGGCCGTGGGGGTTCAACCCGCCTGAGGCTGCCTCAGCCACCACCCTGACCCCAACCCCAACTGAGAAAAGGCAGCCCGCAGGGCTCGGCCAGCCTCCGGGCCTCTTCCGATGGGCTGGCACTTGTCGGGCTCCAATCCCCACTCAGGCGTGGCAACCCAGACTGGCCCGGCCTCCCCTCAGCAAGGGCTGGACTACAATGCCCAGAATCCCCCAGCTGGCCAATGAACGGGTGGCCGGGGAGGGGGCGGTGCCCACCAAGGCAACCCTCAGCTCCCTGGAAGGGAAAACGGGCCGCCCACGCGAGAAGAGGTGCTTGGAAGAGGTGCTTGGAAGATGCCCACTGGCACGTACCTGGTTTTCTGCCGCAGAGATAGAAGGCCAGCCTGTCCGTGAGCTCGTACTGGATCTCCACCAGGCGCTCCGCCAGCTCGTGGTGCCCTCCTTGCCTGCCAGCCAACAGCGGGGTGGAGGACGCCCTCAGACTCTGCCCACGCGGGGGTCGCCCCTCGGCAGGCAAGGGGTCTGCAGACAGCCCCCTCCCCCTGCGGCCCCGTCGGGGCGCCTGGCGCTGGCCCTCCCCCCGGAAGCACTGCAGAGCCCCGTTCCCCAGGCTGCAGCGATCTCCCCCCTCCGGTGGCCGGAGGCAGGGCTTCTCGCGGCAGGAGGAGGGGGAGGCTGGGGACATGGGGTGGCCTCCCCAGCAAGATCCGGGGAGTGACTGTTCCCTGGCCGGCCCACCCTGGCCGGCCTTGAAGGCCGCAGCAGAAGAGGCGCTCGTTTCCCAGCCCGCAGCGGGCACCCCATGGCGCGCCCTGGCTCACTTTGCATAGTCGATGGGCGTCTTCCCGCTGGAGTCCTGCGTGCCCGGGTCGGCGCCGTAGACGGCCAGCAGCTCGGCCTGCAGGACCTGCCCGGTCTTGGCGGCCACGTGCAGCGGGGTGTTCCCCTTCTCCTGCAGGGGGCGGCGAGGCGGCCACTGAGAGGCGGCAGATGCCGAGCCCGAAGCATCGCTGGCCCGCCCGAAAAGGGGTCCCCCGAGCTAAGGGGAGGCGTCTCTCACCGGGTGGAAGAAGTTGGCCTGGGCTCCCAGGGAGAGCAGCCGCAGGCACGTCTCCAGGTTCCCCGTCCGGACGCTGGAATGGAGTTGCTGCAGCGGGGCAGAGGCAGCCGTCAGGCAGCGGCAAGCTGCCTCTCCCTCCCTCCGAGCACCTGCCCACCTCTCTGCCCCCCACCCCGCTTGCCTTCCCTTCCCCAGCGACGACCCTCGCGGCCTTCAGGCCCCGGACGGGAACCCACAGCCCAGTGGGGCTGCCCAGATCTGACGGCCTGCACGCCGCCGAGACGCCTCCCAGGCGCCTCTGGCATCTGCGTCACCGCGGGGGCGACCGGTTCCCCTGCTTTCCCGTCGTCAGAACAAGGGGGACCCGGGACCTGCAGCCGTCGGGTTGCTCCCCTCAGCATCCAGCCGCTGGCCGGGGGGCCACAGCGGTCCCCCGGGCAGAGCACCCCACAGGTTCAGCCACGCCAGCAGGCGGCGTTTGTTCTCGCATCTTCCCCACCGCGACGAGGCTTTACAGTTATGCCCCTGGAACTTGCGCTCATCGGTCCTGCTACGGTTCTCTTATTCAGGAGCTTCAAATTCCTTTCTGATACAGAAGCTATCGTACACGTTTTTCGGCTCAATTGAAAAAGGCGAGGCACGAATAGCTTAAGAAACTCCAACGTCTCCTAAAGAGTGTTAGAGCTGCCTACGCAGGTCCCCGAAGCAGCACGCTCGGCTTCGCCAGACTCCCGCCCAGCCGGCAGGGGAGCCTCACCTTACTGAGGTCTTTGGCGGTCACGCTGTCGTCATCGCGGCACGGCAAGCGATGCACGAAGGCCAGCATCTGGTACTTCGCTCGGATGAAGTCGGCCTTGTTGGGGCTGCCGGGAGAGACAAGAGCGTCCTGCACAGGAGCTCCCTCACGTGCGGGAGGCCGGGAAACCCCTGCCTCCCCGGGGGGCAAAAGGGGAGGAAGAAGAGCGCAGGAGGCGGCCCTGCTGCTGCACGGTCCACAGAAGTGCACCCCGCGGCACCTGCAGCCTGCCCCCCGCGAGGTGTGCCCAGGACAGGGGCCCTGGACAGGGGCCTGGCGCACAAGGGGGCCGGACCGGCCCCGGATGCGCAGCTGCCTGCAGCAGGGCCCCGGCGGGGCGGAGCTGCAGTGGCCTCACGGGATGCTCAGGCTCGGCACTGGCGGGGAGGGGCTCGGGGGGCACCGCAGCGCTGCTGCCCCGGGGGAGGAGGGAGGGTGGCTCAGCCGGGGGAGGCTGCTCCTGGAGGGGCCGAGGGCAGGGAGGGCTGGGTGGGTCAAGTGCAGCGGGAAGCAAAGGGCGAGCCGAGGCCGTGGGGAGTGGGCAGGGACGGACGGGCGGCTGGGGAGAATCGTGCCGGCACCGAGGGCACAGAGCAGTCAGCGTGGAACCCTTCTATGAGAAAAAGGCACAATTCTAGGCCGGTTTTGGCAGAAAATGGCCTCCAGCTGCCCGCGTGAAGGCCGGGGCCCAGTGGGGGTGGCCAGCCGTTTCTCTGCCCCGTCGTGCGGGGGGCTGCGCCCCGAACCACCTCCTGGTGAGAGACGGGCGGACGGGCGGGAGGGGCAAGTAGGCGACACGGGGCCTGAGCGACGGTTTGTTCTCACGCGACACGCGGAGTCATGTCTCATCTCCTCAAGACTACAGAGCGCCATCCTGGGCAGAGCGACCCGGCCAGAGCTTCCCGCGTCCGCCTCCCATCCACCTTGGGGAAGCGGCTCCCGGCACCCTCATGTCCCCGCCCCCCGCGATCCCCGAATAAAGAAGGGCGCTAGTTTATCTGCGTGCGCCTCCAGGACTGCTCTGCCTTCGCTGGCGCGAGCGGCAGGATCAGGGTTTGCCCACACCTGCTGCTCACCCGTCACGGTGTCTGCACGATCGCGGGGCTCCCCCCGCCTGCCCCCCCCAGAAGACAGACAATGCCCCGATGCCTCTGCTTACTGCACTTTGTCCTGCGGGTTCGCTTTGCGCCTTCCGCTCATGACGGACGCGGGATCCAGCAGCGAGTGCTCCCAGATGGAGTTGGCCCCGTTGTTGTACAAGGTTTCCACCATCTGCAAAGGCACAACAGAACACGAGGAGCTCCTGCTGGCCAGGTGAGGCTGACCCTGGCGTTGCAGCGGGTGGCCCGGCCCAGACAAACGGACCTTAGCCACCCCTGCAGAGAATGCGGGAGGGAGGGAGGCAGCGGAAACACGGAAAGTGTTGGAATCGGGGTAAACAGCACCTTCCCTTCCTTTTCCCACCAAGAACACTTCCAAAGCCCCCCGGTTGCGCTCGAAGCATCTGTCCTTCGAAGCAACGTTCTGCTTGCAAGGTTTGGGTTCACCACAAAGGAAACCTCCCTTTCAAAACGTCAGCGGGCTCCCCAGCCGAAGGCCACAGCTTCACTCATTCAGTCCTGCCCTTTCTACCCACGCCCAAATTTGATAACCCAGATTGAAGCTGCCTAGTTCAGACCCTTTGCCATTTCCACAAGTAATGACAGAAAAGGGTTTAAAAATCGCCCACCACCAGAACGAAACACACAACAATTGCAAGGAAAAACTCTAACAGATCAATCCATAAATGCGACATCGGACTAGCGGGAAGTCAGCAGCGTTACTCCCCCTTTCCTGGTCAAGCTATTTTCAGTACAGGTATTGAAATCTAATTAGCTTATTGTTTTATGGGAAACAAGAATGCCTGGCAGGAAGTTTTTCTGTTTGTCTGAGTCGCAAGACCACAGATTGTCTGGCCAGCTGCAGATGGGGAGGCCGTCCATCCCATCCTAAGGCCGGACCCACAGAAATGTGACCTCACTTGACTCCGCTGTAGCCTTCTCCGGCATCGACTGTCAGGAAAAAGCAACGTCGGGGAGCAAGGGGACTCGGCAAAAGCGGAACAGGCCCCTTGTTTCTCTTCCTGCTCCTTCCCCCCAGACCTCTTTTCCTCTGCATACAGAAGCTTGCCAGGGAAGGGACGCACAGGCGGCTTGGGAAACGGCTGGTGGCAACTGCAGCCACCGCACCAAAGGCCATCAGCCCCGGCCACGACCAGGAGCTCCCACGGCCACTGGCGTGGCTGGCGGTCTGGCGCGAAGGAGCCTGTCCCCCGGATGGGACAGGCGCTCGACGTCCACCGGCTCCCTTTGGCTCCCTTTCCGCACGCGTGACATGGAAGCAGAGCGAGACGGAAGGGGTCTCCGGGCCATCTAGTCTGACCCTGGCTCCAGCCGGCTCCACTCACGACACGCCCACCATGTGCACGTCCAGCCTATCTATGAACACCCACACCGATGGGGCCTCCACGACCTCCCGTGGAAGTGACTGACCCACACAGGCGCTTGCCAGGAGGTGAAGCCATCTCCGTGGCCCAACAGAACGTCGGGAGCTTCTGTTACCTGCAGCAGCGTCGTGGGCCATGGCGTGTGCTTCAGGTGCCTGACCTGGGAGATGTGGCGACCCAGGCTCCGATGGACGCTGCAGCACTCATCACAAATCAGGACGCCCCGGTTTATGGATGCCCAGCACGGGTCTGGAAGAAATGCCGGTGGGAAAGGAGGTGCTCAGCAGCGCGAGCGAGCAATGCCAGAACTGGCTGGCGATGACCAAGGAAATTCACGTGTGGCCACACAGGACCCCTTTTTCAGTTCTCGGAACCAGTCCCTGCACTATCAGCCAAGCCCCATGAGCGCTCTGGACTCATGAGCTGAAGGCAACTCTGAGGTCCGTGTGAGGGCCACTCGGTACAGGAAGCAAGATGTGCTTGGTCTTGAGTCACAGGCCGGGACTCTGGGGAAACGGCGCAAAATAGGAAGTTGGCAAGGCACCAGGCCCTCAAAAGGAAGCCCGGAGCAGAGTGCTCCTAGGCAGCCATCCTTGCAGCAAAGGGGCCTCACTCTCTGAGGAGTCTGGGAAGTGTCAGAGGGTCCTGCACCGTCTCTCCAGAGAGCGAAAGCGCACCCGGCCTCAAGCTGATTCCGGCACTGCCGTGTCACGGCTAAGAGCAGCTCGGGGAAGTTCTGCCCAGCAGCCACGGCCACTGCCGACTCTGAACACCACGGGAAAGCCCTTCCAGCTGCGAGGAAGGAGGCTGCCCCCGGGGGCGCATCACGGCCTGCCCCTGGGTGTGGCACAGTGGGGCAGGCGAGGCCGGAGGAGCCCTCGGGGTCAACTGCTCCCCATCAGTGGCTGGCAACTGCACCGGGTCAGGGCTGCCCCAGGCACCATTTCAGGTGCAGTGGAGAAGCCGGTCACTCCTGCGCGAGGCGGAAGGGCCCGTGCTGCGGCTGGGCAGATTCTGCACGTGGAGGGCTGGCCGAGGGGCGCCCCACGGCCACAGTGGTGCAGGACAGAGGAAGGGGTTCTCTCACACCACGAAGGCAGCGATGTGGCCACCCAGCAGCAGCTGAGGGCAGCTCCCGTGCCTGGCTCCTGCGCGGGGACTGGTGCAGCAGCCGCCTGGCAGCGTGTGGGGATCCCAACTAGCCCAGCCTTGCCTTCCGTGCTTCCTCCTGGGCCAAGCCAGCCTCCGCGGAAGGCAAGGGAGCAAACGCGGGAGCCACGGCCCTCTCTGTGGCAGGGGGGCCCACAGGGTGGCCAACGGGCCCTGCCGGGAGCCACCGGCGGTTCCCGGTCCGTGACGATCCCCAGCTCACGCCCCCTCCGGAGCAATTGGAGCTGGACAGGGTGCGGGTGAGGAAGAGGAGGAGGGGGGGTGCGGCGAGGAAATGCGCAGAGCCGTGTCAAGAAGCCAGCCACGAGGAGCCCGAGGGGAAGCTGCCGGAGGTTCTGAGAAGCGGCTGCCACTCTTTGCCACCTGCTCCTCGCTCAGCCTGCGCTGCGACTTCTGCAACAGCTTCCTGTCTGGGCCCCAGGCAGCAGCTCCGCCAGCGGCTCGGGAGGGAAGGGGGATGTGCTCGCCCGGGGGCCGGGGGCCCGCGGCGACCGACCGGGTGCACAGGCATGGGTGTCGGCAGGGGGGACCACGGGGTCTCCCCTCCCCGATCGGAAAGAAAAAGTGGCTCTTCCACTCCTCCTTCCCTGCCTTCCTCCTCCTCCTCCGAGAGCATAGCCTGCTTGAAGAGAAAAGAGGCAGGCAGAGAAGTCGGAGCTCACTGGGGGTCCCAAACTGCTCCCCCCAGAACTACTCCCCCGCGCGCTTGAGACCTCAGGGCCAGCCCTCCAAAGCATCCCTAAGCGCAGCCCCACACCAGATGTCTGGAAGGGGCCCCACAGCTCTTTCCGCCCTCCAAGACAGCGAAGGGGAGGATCTGGGGCCACCTCCCGCTACTACCCCGCGAGGAAAAGAAAGGAGTGGCCGGAGAAGCGCTCTGTACAAGCTCAGGGGCACCCCCTCCGCCTAGCATTCGCGCTCCGCCTCAGTGGGGCCGCGGGGCCGGGCTCCTCCCCACAGGAGCCCCGGCGGGCCGCACGGAGCAGCTGAAGCCCCAGGCCCCCGGACGCCTGGCTCCCCCGGACGCCGGGGTCCCGCGAACGGCGCCCCTCTCCCCAGCCGCCCCGCCGCGGCCCGTACCTGGCGCGCTGCAGTCGGCACACACGTCGCTGCTCCGCAGCCGCTTCGACATGGCCGGGCCGGGCCAGGACGCGCCGGGCCGAGCGGAGCCGGGGTCGCCGCTCCCGATAACGGGTCCCTCTCAGTGCCGCCAGTCACGGAGAAGTCGCCCCGCGCATGCGTACGCCAGCGGCGCGCCTCTTCGCGCAAACGCCGCCATTCGCCAAGCCGCTGCTCCCGCACATCGCGTAGACGGCGGCGACACCGCCCGTCGCGCACCGATGAGGAGGCCCCGCTGCGGAGGACATCTTGGTCCCTGGCAAGGCGGCGGAGAGCGCAGCCATGCTGGGTGTTGGCAAAGAGGGAGAATTAACCCTTTAAAACCTGGCAGTAACGTTATGCATTCATTAAGATAAGTCACCAGCATTTGGGCAAGCGTTCGAGATACCGTATTTTTTTAAAGGTTGATTTCGCGATTTTTTAAAAAGTGGAATTACCTCAGAAAAAAAATTAGGAGGAAAGGGACCTTTACATTTTTAAAGAATGCCGGCCAAACAAGGAGTGCTCAATTGTCATTATTTGCAGCTTTGTAGTTTCCGTGCAGGCTCCTCAAAGTGGGCGGAGAGGAGAAGCCATAATATTCCCTTATCTAAGATGGAGTTGCCCTCTTTCACAATGGAGAGTTTGAAAGCCGGAGCATCTAGGAAAAGAGAAGTAATGCGTTGCCCTCTTCCAAGATGGCCCTCCAAAGTACGTCAGCGCCTCCGACGCCCTTAGTCATCATGGTGGTCCAGGAGGAGCGGGGAAAGCGAGAGAGAAGGACGACTATCCTTTTCCAAGATGGCCGCCAGCAGCACACCGTGGCCCCGCGTGCCCTTAGTCATCATGGCGGCAGCCTAGACGTTGACATGGGCGCTGCCCTCACCCAACATGGCGCACGGGGCTTCGCGGGACCCGGGCGAGGGAGGTGACCGCCGCGAGCGCTGCCGAGCAGCCACCTCGTCAACGAGTAACGAGCCGGCCCGGCGCGGAGCGCCTTGTGGGCCGTCCGGCGGGGCAGAGCGCCGCGCTTCCCCTCCTCCCTGGTGCCCGGTGCCCGGCGGGCGGCTGGCTGGGGCGGATCGGGGGCGAGGAAGGCGGGGGGTGGGTGAAAGGTGAGAGGTGGGTCGCAGTCCGAAAAGGGGGCTTGTCGAGCTGCTTCCCCAGACCTGCACGGGGGCTCGGGCTGGCTCGGCGCGACAGGAGCGGCGGCACGGGGGCGGGGGACTGCCTGGGGGCGGTGCAGGGGCGCCGGGGCTGGGGGGCTCTCGCCCCCTAGGGGGAGCCGTCCCCGTGGGGAGCCATGGCCTGCAGGGAGCGGGGGTCGCCCGCGTAGTGCCTCTGCCCCTTCCGGACAGCGCCCCCCGCCCGAGAGGAGGCGCGGGGGCGAGGATGAGCTCCGCGGGGGACGCCGGCGGCCAGTTCCCCTTGCACGGCTTGGTCTGGAACAACGACTTCCAGCAGCTGGAAAAGGTGCTGGAGAACCAGGTAAAAGGGCGGCCCGGGCGGGGGCCTGGGGTGGGCCGGGGGTCCGGGTGGCCGCGTCTGTGGGCCCGCTGACCGCGCTCATAGCCCCCTTTCCCCCGAAGAACGCCCTGCCGCGTACGACAACCCCGCGAGGTTGGCTGGCCTGGGAAGGCCAGCAGCCCAAGACTCCTCAGGGCAGCTCCCTGCACCTGGGCGCACCTGGGAGGGGCAGGTGGTCCCAGGCGGGTTGGCAGGGCCCGCAGCCTGGCTGCCCCCTTTCTGGACAGGGCGAGGAGGCCGGTGGGCTGGGGCAAGAAGTCCCCCGGATGCCGAGTTGCGCTTGGCTGGCTGCCCAAGGATGCCGCCCCCTGTGCCATGTTAGTTCTGAGTTTGCCCTGTTCTGAAACTCGCACTGCAACTTCGCCATCGTTTTAGATGCGAGCTGCTGTGCCCTTTAAAACGGAAAGAGAAACCAGCTTTTTTCATAAACAAGTTTCAGTTACACATTCCAGAGCTGATAAGAGAGCCGATAACAGTGAGCTTTTAAAAAACACGTCTGTAAAGGCTTGATTCTCAGGCTGTGTATAGGAGGGTCCCTGGGGAAAAAAAAAGGAAGCTAATTTAAATCTGAAAAACGAAAGTGATACACACATGAGGATATGAGAACCAAGTGGAATCTTATCTGTACCTGTTGGCTGACGTGTTAAAAGGTGTGGACTGAGAGAAGCTGTTTACACATGTCATTTTTTAACAAGTATAATGAGAAGGCAAACAATACTGAAAGCACACGGAAAAAGCCGAGGTGTGGCGGGCAAGATCTCCTGGTTCACGGGCCCGGGAGGGTCCTGGTCAGGAGCTCGCTTCCTAGCGACTGGCTTGGCCTCACAATTTTGGAGGCGATCCCCAAGGGAGAGGTTGTCAACAGTGCTGTGCAGGATCCGGGGCATCGCTGGGAGGCTGGACACAGCGAGCACGGTTCCTGCAAGAAAGTGGCGCCCGCGAACCCGCTTCGCTGCACGGGTGGCCTCCAGGACACGGCCTCGGATCACCAAGGCCAGTGGCGAGGGGCAGGCTGGTGCCCCAGAGCAGGGAACAAAGCATCCCCAAGTTCCCTGGGGCTGCCATCTGGGGGCTGTGCAGCAGACAAGCAGAGGTGGGAATGGTTTCCTGAAGCGAGAGCGTGGCAAACGGCTGCTCCGTTGGACTTGGCAGGGCCGAGAAGGCCAACCGCTTCGGCCTTCCTTGTTTTCCTCTGCATCTGGGACATCAGAGGCAGGAAGGAGTCTATGAGCTCATCGCCTGTGAAGCAGGTGGGCCGAGAGAGGACTTGGCCCAGATCCGCCAGTAAGCATTGTGGTGGCAGGATCCAAACCCCGCCCTCCCCAGTCCGTGCAGAGCACTCTCTCCGCTTGCCCATGTGCTCGCCGGCAGCACATGAAATCAGCCGGCCAGCCGCAGAGGAAGCCAAAGAGCCATCAGGACACCTTGTAACGCTGCCAGAAGTGGACTTGCTCTGCCCCGTGGCTGGAAGTCCTCAGCCGGGGACGTCCCCTTCTTGCTGTCCCCACCAGGACAGCCTTCCGCTTGCCCTGCACTCACAAAAGCCGATCTTTGCAACGGGGGGGAGACGTGATTTCTGTTTGGAGAAGTTGGCCAACCCGATCACTTCCTTCCCTCTGGCAGAAAGCGAGATTGATTTTTGCACAATGTTCAGCAAGCCTGAAGGCCGGGAGCAGAGAGCTGCGGGGCGGTTTGGCATTCGTTGACCTCTGAAGCCGAAATGGGCCAGCCCATCCGCCTCAGGCACTGCTCGTTCCAGCTGCAGTGGTGTCGCCGAGTTTAATTTCAGTGTAACAGTGGTTTAAACCGCTGTGCTGCTGGGCCGGTTGATCGAAAGGTCGCTGGTTCGAATCTGCACAACGGAGTGAGTTCCCGTTGCTCCGTCCCAGCTCCTGCCAGCCTTGCAGTTCGAAAGCATGCAAATACAAGTAGAGGAAAAGGTACCACTTCGGTGGGCAGGTAACAGCCTTCCGTGCACTTCGGTGTTTAGTCATGCCAGCCACACGGCCACGGAGACCGTCTGCGGACAAATGCTGGCTCCCTCGGCCAGGAAACGGAGATGAGCACCGCCCTCGAGAGTCAGGCATGGCTGGACGTAACGTCAAGGGGAAACCTTTACCTTTGTTTAACAGAGAAATATCCACTGCTGCTATTGCTGCTCCTAATATTGTGATTATATGACATAACCAGAAGCCACAGGTCCCTGCCCCAAGATGCATACAGTCTAAGATTTCCAGTGGGAGCCATTTGCTACTGCCAGTTTTGTCACGGAACTCTAGAATGGTAAAAAATAACACAAAATTACTTCTCTTCCATAGAAGGCGCACATTTTCCAACATTCCGGTCTTTTTTTGTGTTACCACAAGTGTCTCCCGCCAAGTTCAGAGGTGGCACCACCAGCCAGTTGGCACGGCAGCTCTTGGAAGGAGGCTAATTCCGCAGTTCGGGTTGCATGAACTGCCGACTGGAAGCAGGGCCCAGTTGGCCGGTGGCCGAAAGGACGCCCACGGTGCCGCCCTGCGCATGTGCGCACAGCCAACGCTCCCGCTGGCTTTCCTGGGGGCTGCCCAGCGGGCAAGGGGACGCAGCCCCGGCGAGCACTTGGTAATCCGCAGCTGCTCTCGCACCGTCCGGGTGACGCGCCCCTCCAAAGGGCAGGAACCCGGCCAGCGGAAGTGCCGGCTGCCAGCGGACGGCCCTCGTCCGGACGCCGGCCTGGCCCAGACCGCCCGACGCGCTGGCGCCTCTGCAGCCGCACTGCCCCTTCCCACTCGGCTCACTGTTGATTTCTGCTCTTTTCCCGTAGTGATAGATGCGCCTCAGTTCAGATTTCTAAAGCTAGTAGTGCAAGACCTAGGTAAGGCGGGCGCCTGCCGCGCTCTGCATGCCAGTGGCCCCCCGCCCCCGTGTGCTCCGCGTCGTGTGGTGGTCCCGTCGAGAGCGCTCATCGCCCGCCTGTGTCTGTCCGAGGGGTGCCCTCCCGGGGCCCCTCCCTCCATAACATCACCGGGCATTTTACAAAACAAAGTTTGCTTTGTAAAGGTCGTCGCCCACTCTGCTTGTGTTTGCGCGCGCGCGCGCGTGTGTGTGTGTGTGTGTGTGTGTGTGTACACGCACTGGCATTTTGTCGCAGCATTGTCTGGTAGCCGCAGAGGGTGACAGCAATTCCTGGCACGGGGAAGCGGAGGCCGGAACGCCATGGCCTCTGTTAGGGGCGCGGCTCCGCAGCTGCGGAGAGCCCAGCTGCAGCGCATGCACCCGCTGGGCCGCCTCCAGCACCGCCTCAGGCGGGGGGAGTGCTCTCTCAACCAGAGGCCCTCAGCGGCACCCATCAGCCTCAGCCCGCAGGGTGGCTAGGGGCTGTAGTCCAAGGCCGCATCGGCTGGGGAAGGCCCGCACGTGTCGTGACGGGAGCGCCTCTTTACCCCACCTCCTTTCAGCAGGCCTGGGGGGCTCACCCAGCCGGGGGACACGGCCAGCGAGGCCCCCTCCCCAGCCCATGTTCTCTGGAGGCTCTGGGCTGCGGCTCCCAGGCTGGGCAAGGCCGGCAGAGGGGAGGCTGGGGGGGAGCGGCAGGCTCGCTCGGCCAGCCGGTCTCCCAGACGGGCACCGGGAGACGGTGGGCAGGAGCCCTGTGGAAAAGCCCTGGTCCCATGGCACCCTCCCCGGCCATGCCTTCGCCAGTGGGGCCACGGCGGGAGCAGCTGCGCGGAATCCGTGGAATCCGTCTATGGCAGCCCCCCAAGCAGGGGCCACGCTGGTGGGGAGGGCAGGAGCCGCAGGCCAACAGAACAGGAAGGTGCCTGGGCCGAGGGGGCCGCCTGGGAAGGGGCTTCCTGGTGGGGCGGGTTGGCAGGCGGCTGCCACCCAGGGGAACCGCTGCCAGGAGGGGCAGCCAGAGGCGGGAGCAGCAGGCAGCCCCCGGTCCTGCAGAAGGCCGCGCCAGAGGCGCAGGGGTCCGCGCCACCCGCTGCTCCGGCGCCTGGGCAGAGGCCGAGGAGGCAGGGCTGCCCCGCGAGGGGCCGTTCATGTGGCCGCTCCTTCCCAGCCGTGCAGGGGGGTGCAAGCCCAGCTCGGCTGGGCTTCTCCTGGGATTGCTGTCTCACGTGGCGCTTGCCTGTCTGTGTGTCCCGAGGAGCCGTGCGGCGGCGGCCCCCACGGCCGGCTCCCCTTCCATGGCATTCCCCGCCAGGCCCCTCAGCACCATGCCCACCCGCCCCTCGTTTCACCCCCCGGGGCCCTGGGCAGCTCCCGCAGCGCTCTGAGGCGGGCTCTCCGTTGCTGCAGCAGGACGTCGACCAGCGGGATCCCCGTGGGCGCACACCGCTGCACCTGGCCGTGTCCCTGGGGTACATCGAGGCCGCCCGGGTCCTCCTGCGGCACAAGGCGGATGTCACACAGGAGAACGCACAGGGCTGGACGGGTAAGCGGCTCCCCCGTGGAAGGAGGCGGCTGGGCCAGGGGCTGCGGGACCGTGCCCCACGGCCTTCGCGGGCTGCGGAGTGCAGACGCCTCTCTGCTCAGCCGCCCAGAGAAGCCCGACGGCGGCTCTGCCCTCTAAGCCTCTCCTCACTTCCCGCCGACCCTCTCGCCTCCAGTCCTGCACGAAGCCGTCAGCACGGGGGACCCTGAGATGGTGCACATGGTCCTGCAGCACCGGGATTACCAGCAGACGTCCACCACCCTCGGAGGGGTGCCAGAACTACTCCAGAAAATCAACGAGGTAACGCAAGGGGCGTGAAGTGGCTCCTAACCTTGTCCTTGGGCCGAGCTCCCATCGTCCCTGGCCAGCAGGGCAGCCGCGGTGGGAGCTGTCGCCCTGCAACATCTCTGGAGCCATGCTGCCATCGCCCGCAAGATGGAGGTCTTCGCTCCCCATCTTTTCTCCTCTGTGAGAACGTCAAAGCGCTGACGGCACAGCTCCACCGAGCGCGGGGCGAGGCCTGGGAGCGGCCGGGCGCTTCTCCGGGCTTCCTTGGCAAGGTGCGGCAGCGGCGCTCGAGCGCTCTTGCGGACGACGTGCCGCTTGTTCCAATTCTGCAGCCCCCGTTCCAAAGCTTGGGTGGGCCACAGGGGCCCGGCCAGGCCTTGCAGCAAGCAGGCCAAGGGGTCGCCTCCAGGCGAAAGGAACTTCGGTGAAGGGCAGGAAGAGAGTCCGGGCGAGTCGGAGCGGGTGGGGCTGACCCATGCGGGAGCAGCAAGTCACACGCTCCTGCAAAGCGAGAACGTCGCATGCGCTGTCGAACGAGCAAGCCCAGTGCGGCAGGGACCGGCCCCGGCCTGCCCGTCCGCGTGTGGATGGGGGCACTTCTGTCCAAAGCGCCCTCCCTCCATCCCGACTGGCCGGTGCCGGGATCCTGCACACCGTTGGCCTCGCTCTGTGCTGCCGCGTGTGCTTCTCCGAAGGCCGTGGGTGCCACGGGCCCGCTGGGCTGTCGCTACTTTTGCTTGGCCCGGGCCAAGTCCTGAAGCGGCCCCAGGAGCGGGAAAGAAAGGTGAGCAGCCTCACCTGGTGCAAGGAGGACACCGAAATCCACCCCAGCGGCTGACAGCCCAGCCTGGCGCCTTCCGGACGTGTTGGCTGCAGGTTCCATGATCCCCGGCTGGGGGATGATGGAAAATGCACTCCGAAGCATCCGGAGGGTGCCCCGTATGCAAAGGCTTCGCTCGCCCCTCAGTCGCTCTGGGCACTCGCCCTGACTCGCCCTTCTCCTCCCTGTTGGTCCAGCGCTCAAAGGTGTGCAGGCTGCCATCCCAGAATAGGTGCTCGAGAAGCTCCCACCGAGGTCAGGGAGGCTTCCTTCCGGGGGGCTAGGCTAGGATTGCACTTCCCCACTGCCTCTCCCTGGTCCCTTTAACACGACGCTTCGAGCTTCGCAGGTCGTGGCCAAAGCCGTCAGCCGCGCCTCCGTTTTCCTCCATTAGACTCCGGATTTCTACTTGGAAATGAAGTGGGAATTCACCAGCTGGGGTAGGTCCGGAGGCACTTCCCCGCTTTCCTGGGGCTGCGCCCAGCAGCCTCCCCCTGGCCGGAGACGGGCCTGCGGGGCCCCGACTGGCCCCGGGCTCCATGGGCCTGACCCGGCTGGGGTCCCGGGCTTCTCTCGGCCCCCCGCTCGGGCCGGCCGTGGCCTCACGCTCGGCTCGGCCCTCGACAGTGCCGCTGGTCTCCCGGGTCTGTCCCAGCGACGTCTGCCGCATCTGGAAGAGCGGCGCAAAGCTGCGCGTCGACATCACCCTGCTGGGCTTCGAGAACATGAGCTGGGAGCGAGGGAGGCGCAGCCTGATCTTCAAGGGGGAAGGTAGGTGGGAGCCGGCCGGCCCGGGGCCTCGGGGTGCACGGGGACGGACGGCCGGCAGGGCAGGGCAGGGCAGCGCAGGGCAGGGCAGGGCAGGGCAGGGCAGGGCTGGGGGGCCCCGGCCCTGGCGGGGCTTCTGGGCTGCCGGCGGCCGGATGGGCACGGGCAGCCTTCCCGGGCAGGCGATGAGCCAGTCTGGAGTCCGCCCAGCCCCAGCCTCCTCTGTGGGGGGCCGTCCTCCCTGCTGGGGGTCCAGAAGGCCGGCCTCGGTGCCAAGGGCCTGATCCCCGGCGGCGCCAGTCGGGGGCGCCTCCTCGCATCCCGCGGCCGGAGGGAGAGCTCTCTGCAGCGCTGCGGCTTGCGGGCTCCCCCAGCCGCCCGGCCGGGCAGGCTCCCCTGAGGGGCACCCGGCTCTGGCGCCCCCCCCCCCGGCTCAGCAGCTGGCCTGGCCCGCGAACGAGCTCCCCATCCCCTGGGGGGAGCAGAGCGAGCTGCGCTGGCCCCGTCCCAGCAGCGCCTCCCCCCTCCAGGGACCGGGCACTGGGCCGAGCTGATCGAGGTGAACCACGACGAGCGCGTGGTCGCCACCGAGCGCTTCGAGATCACGCAGCAAATCGAGCGCCTGACCCTGGACTCCATGACCCCCAAGTCCAAGGAGGTGGAGCGGCGACTCACGTCCCCCACCATCAGCACCTCCCTGGACACGAGAAGCATCGCCTTCGAGAGGTGAGCGGCGGGCGGCCCGGGCTCCGGAGCGAGCCGCCCACGTGCCGGGGGGAGACGCTCGGCTCTCGCGCGGCCAAGGGCCCCGCGGTCAGGACGGCCACCTGTCACGCGCAGCCCTTTGCTCTGCTGGCTGGGGCTGATGGGAGCTGAAGCGCAAAGCAACGGGGCAGGTGGCCCCAAGATGGATTCTGAGGACGGGGTGGGGGCTCGGGAAAGCCGTTCGGAGGGGCAGCGAAGCGGCACAGCCCTCTTCTCTCGCGCAGGAACACTTCTGGCTTCTGGGTGTGGAGGACGGAGAGGAGCGAGGTGGTGAGCGATTACGAGGCCAAGGTGAGGCGCCCTCGCTGTGCCCAGGGACCTCCGGGGCGGTGCCCACAGCCAGGCGCCGGCCTCTCTCTCGGCCACGTGGGGCTCGGGAACGCGAGAGCGCCCGGGTCTCGGGAGGGCAGGACGAAGGGGCCGCTGGCAGGGGCGACGGGAGCTGCTGTCACGCCCTCCTGGCATGGGGAAGGTGGGGGGTCCTTGCGGTGAGCACGGGGCCGGCTGCCCGTAAGCGCCCGCCCGGTCTGTGGCCTGAGAGCGGCTGCCCCGGCTCCCTGCCCCCAAGGTCTACACGGCCAACAACGTGCACGTCGTGACCAAGATCAGGACGGAGCACCTGACCGAGGAGGAGAAGAGGAGGTACAAAGGTAACGTGGCCTCGCGGGGGGGGGGGGGGCTCGGACTTGGCCCCTCGGTGGAAGGCCCAGCCAGAGCCAGGTCCCGGGGGGGCACGTGTGGCCGGGCTCGGGAGCGGCCCCCCAGCGAAATGCAGCCCAGACTTCCGCCCAGGCAGGCAGAAACCCGCCCTGCAAGGACGGCTCCTCCTCCCCTTGTGCCCCGAGCCCAAGACGAGGCTGCCCCTTCGGGGGCTTGAGGGGCAGCGTCCGGCCGACCGGCCACGTGCTTTTCCCCTTCCAGCCGACAGAAACCCCCTCGAGTCCTTCCTGGGAACCATCGAGCACGAGTACGGCGCACAGCAGGTGAGGGAGGCGTGCGGCGAGCGGGGCCTGCCGGGAACGGCGGAAGGGCCCCGCGTCTCCCCCGAGGCGTGCCCGCTGCCCGATCCCGAGGCCCGCGAAGGAGCCGGACGGGGGCACACGCTCCCCCAAGCGGGCCCCTGGGAGGGGCGCTGCGGGCAAGCCGCGCCCGTCACGCCGGCGGCTGCTGGAGTCGCCCTTCCGCCCCGCAGGACCTCACCACCGAGCACGCCACGACGAACAACCCCACGGCCATCACGCCCGAGGAGTATTTCGACCCCAGTTTTGACCTGAAGGACAGAGACATCGGGAGGCCCAAGGAGGTCACCACTCGGACGCAGAAGTAAGAGCCCCGCCCCGGCGCCTCCCTTTGGGCTGCCCCCCTTTCCTCTGCCGGCTCCGTCCCCCACTCCTTGCAAGCCCCCCGCAGGCGGGAGGCCTTCGGGGGGGTTGCACAATGTACCCCGACATGGTGATCTTCGCGCCAGTGGATGGTGGGGCAGAGTTGCTCAGGAGCCTCGGAAGCTGCCTCCCCGCAGCCAGACTGGGCTCGGCCCTCCAGCCGCGTCCCGTCCGCCCCAGCGGCTCCCCAGTGCCTGGCGGGCACCTTCCCGGCCCTCCCCCCCCGCCGAGAGGCAGCTGGGATGTGGGATCGCGCCGGCCAGCCCCGCCCCATCTCACCTCGTCCAGGTTTAAGGCCAACCTGTGGATGTCGGAGGGCTTCCCGCTCTCCCTGGTGGAGCAGGTCAGCCCCATCATCGACCTGATGGCCAGGACAAGCGCCCACTTCGCGCGGCTCAAGGACTTCATCACCTTGGACTTCCCCCCCGGATTCCCGGTTAAAATTGGTAGGGCCCTTTCGGCGCTTCCGTGGGGGGGTGCCCTTCTTCCCCGCCCCCAGCCGCACCCCGAGCCCCACGTGCAGAGCCGTGATGCCGGGCACTGGCGGGGGCACCTGCAGGCGGACCGGGGCGGAAGTGGCCACATGCCAGCCGGAGACGGACCTCCTGGGGTGGGAGAGGCAGCCCCAGAGCGGGGAACCCCCAAAGCCGGGGGGGGGGCTCCGGTTCTGTGCCCCCCTTTTAAGTCTTGCATGGGGCTGAGGATAAGCCGCGGCTGTGCCCCCTCCTGCTCTTTTGCCCCCGCAGAAATCCCCTTGTTCCACATCCTGAATGCACGGATCACCTTCGGGAACGTGAACAGCTGCAGCACGGTGGCAGAGGCCCCCCCGCAGGCTCCCGACGGGGCTCAGCGGCCTCCAGGTGAGGAAGCGGCTCCGGCCGCCTGGGGGCTGGGGAGCCCATGAGGTCGCCTCCGGGGGGGGAGGCCCAAAGTGGGGAGCCCTGGAGCCTTCTTCACTCTAGGTGGGCTCTGCAGCCGCTCGCTCTCCTTCCGTGCCCCCCTTTCCAGCCCAGGGCCCGCTTCCGGGGGCAGGGAGGGGGCAGCCTCATGCTGGGCTGGAGCGCCTGCTTAGCAAGCCCCGGGTGGCCTCCTGGAGCCGAGCCCCCGGAGTGCCAGCCAAGGAGGTGCTTGCTGCCGGGAGACCCTTGCCCGGGAGGCGATGACCGAGGAGGGCCCCTCTGCCCAGAAGCCGAGCCCAGGCTCAGGCGTGACTGGGGGTCCTCGGAAGACCACTGTCCTGTGGGCAGACGCGCCTGCAGGCCCTCCCCGGCAGGCGCCCTGCTGCGCTGACGCCGGCACCTCACCTCCTGTTAATCCCCTCGGCCCTCCAGCCTCTGCGTTCGCCGTCGACCAGTCGGTTTTCGAGATCCCCAGATCCTACCGCGTTCAAGACGACGGCAGGAACGTGCGTGTCCAGGACGAGGACAACGAGATCATGCAGTTTGCCATCCAGCAGAGCCTGATGGAGTCTGGGCAGAACACCGTGAGTCCCTGGCGCGGGGGCATCTCCTGCAACCCATTCCTCAGCTCGAAGGATCCTGGCCGAAGCTTCCCGGGCCCGGCTGGGCCGGGCGGAAACCCCACCCCAGCGGGGCGCCCACCAGGCTCCTCGGCTTGCGGAAAACCACGGGCGTCTCTGTTCGTCTTCCGGCAAGCCTTTCGGCAGCACTCGTGGCTCGGCTTGACCTTACTGGACGCTTGCCTAAACGGTGCCACCCCACTTCCCGTGAGGTGGCCAGGCGGGCCTGCCGCACCCCGTGTGAAGGGAGGCCATGGGGGGCTTGTGGCGTGGGGCAAAGCGGGAGGGTCACAACCCGAGCGAGGCAGGACACTCTGCGCCAGCGCCCCCCCCCCCGTGTGTGCAAATTGCCTGCATCGGCGCCTCGCCTTGTAAGCACGGCGCCCACTCCGCTGTCTCCCGCAGGAGGCCTTACGGCTGGGCTCCAACGGCTCCATGTCTTACTCAGAGGAACTCAACCTTCAGTACCAAAGGTGAGGGTCTGTCTTGGAAAGGATGCACCGAAGGGGGCGGGAAGCCACAGCCACGGGGTCCAGGACAGGGCTGTGGGACTGGGGCCTGGACCTGCCCCTCTGGACTCCCCCCAGGGGCCACCCCCTTTCCTGGCTGCTGGGCGCTCGGGCTTCCTGGCCACCACGCCGCGGAGTCAGGCAGGTGGGCGCAGTGCTTTCCAGCCGGGTGCCCAGGCTGGGGCCGGCTCCCGCCCCGCCGCACCAGCCGCCTGACAGGCCCCCCTGCCGCTCTCCCCGCCCAGGGCATTGCAGGAAAGCTTCCTCGAGAGCGCCTCCCCGCCGTGGGACCCCTCCGGCTTCGACCGGGACTTGCAGCTGGCGATGGAGCTCTCCGCCCGGGAGCAGCAGGAGCTGGAGCGCCGGCGGGAGGAGGAGGAGGAGGCCGAGCTGCAGCGCGCGCTGCAGCGCTCCCTCCTGGAGAAGTAGCCGGGCGGCGACGCTTCCCTTCCAAAAGGACCCGTAAGCCCGGCCTCCCAAGGGCTCCCGGCTCGCTTGCCCGGGGCCGGCTGGAGACGTGGGCTGCCAGGACAGCCGCCACGGTGCCACGGCGGGGTGCCCGGAGCACCCCCGCCCTCCTGAGCGTCACACGCCAGGATCGGGGCCCGCGTCCTGCCTTGCGCGCCCTGGGGGGCAAGGGAGCCCCCGTGAACTGGGGGCCGCGCGCCCCTTGTCTGCGAGTGCCTGCCCGCCGGACTGCGGCGGGGCCACCTCTTCGCCCACCAAAGATCCAAGCAGCCCCCTTTGGGGACTGCGCGCCAGAGCTGGGGGGACACGGGGCCCCCGCACTAGCCCCCCCCCACTCTCATCTCAGCCCCAGTTCCTTGCCGCACTGTAGCAGTTCCAAGCCAGCCCTCCTTACACTCCCCCAGGCAAATGTTCTGACTCCAGCAGGTGCTTCTGAAGGGGCTGCGCATATTTTAAGTAAATTGAAGGGGAACCCACCCGCTTCCTTCTGCGTTCCATACAGGAAATGGGGTGGGGAGTCTGCTGTGAGCAGCTTATATTGACCAAAAGGGAAATAAATCCATATTGTCTTTATACAATGTACGGTCTTCCTCTCAACATCGCATCTTTTGTCTGGCTTCATTTTATAAACAGCAGGGCAACAACTGCCATGAGGACTAGCAGCTTGAACGGTAAATGGGCGCATACATGGATTGCATTTCTGTAGCCTTTACGTCTTGCAGCTCTGGCGAGGGACACTCCCAGGGCAGGCAGGGAGGGGAGTGCCAGCACCCCCCTAAAACCACAAACGCTCTCTCCCACGCCTTTCAAAACCCCCAAGTTATGTTGGCAACAGGGGCCCCCGAAGGAGGTGCAGTGGGGCAGGGGGAGGGGGCGAATCTGTACTGCACTTCTCCAGAGCAGCCGCATCCTGGCCCGGGCGAGGGCTGCACTGCTTTGAGAGAGAAAAGAGCCTTGCAGCAGGTGAGCGCTGGAAGACGCCGGGACGGATTAACGTGCAGGCACTCCGGGTGCCCGGCAGCGCGAGGCGTTCCGAAGGTGCTGCCACGGAGCGCCGCTCCTGAAATCCAAAGACTGGGCCTAGGAAGGGCCGCTAGGGAAGAAGAGCGAGGAACTGGCCCGCTCGGGGGAAGGCCCCAGGGTGCGGGGAGCCCGCAATCTGTTTAGAAACCCAAGGGGTGCAGCCCGCCGCCCTCGCCCAGCGAAGGCCGACCCTGCTCGGCACCTGCGGAGCATCGGTTGCCAGTTGGAAAGGGAAACAACCGGCACAGGAACGGCAGGCACCCCACACGGCCAGCCCCTCGGGAGGTGAGGACGCACGCCCGACAGCTCGCTCCCGGTCCCACCTGTCTGTCGAGCCCCCCGTGCTGCAGACGCAGCGGAGGTGGCCATCGGGCCCATGCCAGCTTGGGGGCCTTCCCAGGAGAGTCCGGCTGCCCACTGGGAAGAGGGGGCGCTTGCCCCGGAGGCGCTGTGCAAGGCACCCACCCAGCCTCCGGGCACCGCAGGACTTGGTGGCCACGCCTCCCGTTGCAGAGCGGAGCAGGCAGGAGGCCGCAGCAAGCAGGGCCCCGAGAGAAGAGGGAACGGCAGGGCAGGCGTCTTCCGTTCTTTGCTGGGAACAGCTCGATGCACGTCCTCTCTCGTCCGGAGCTTATCTCCCACCGCCAGCAGCTGGACTCGTTGCCCCTGAACCTCTGGCCCCGGCGCCTTTGCGAGTCTTCTTTGACGGCACGCTGGGAGTGACTGATCCAGACTTCACAGGATCCATGCCTCTTCCTCCACTCCAAAGGGACTGGGGCCCCCAACTCCTCTCCGCTTATCATGGGTAAGAGTCTGCAGGTGCGAACCTGGCATTTCCAGGACCTTCCTCTGCTAATCACGCAGGGTCGGCCAAGGCCTGACAGGCGCTCCAGAACAAAGACGGCAAGACGCCCAGACATTTTCCGACATTTAACATGCAAGTGGCTCTTTTCTCTTTCAAAGCAATGCTGCTCTTCTTGATAGTGCGAGGCGGCTGCTTTCAAAGAAACAGACCTTTGCCAGTTTTTTAGACTGGGGCTTTGTGTCTTTATAGAAGGAACTGCACAGTCCAGCCAAGTGACTCTGTAAGAAGAGCTGTTCTGTTAATCACAAATGAAATAAAACAAACTAAAATGAATAAACATAATAGTTCTCGGCAGTGTGTTCTGCCTCAAGGCAGCAGAAGCAAAGACAGCAGTAGCGGCAGGGGCAGAACCTCGGTTCCCTTTCATTTTAAAAAATCCAGCTTTGATCACACGGGGATGCTGGGAAGTGTTTGCACAGCTTCTGTTAATCTCAGCAGCCAGAGCTGAACGGTTGGGGCTGGACTGCAGAACTCCCTTCCTCCCCCTCCTCGCACCTCCACACACACTTGACCTGTATAAGCTGGCATTACACAGAAGTTGTGTAATTTTTCACAACTGTGGCAAATTTGTTCAACTGGCAAAATGCACTGCAAAGCTTGTCCGGGCCTCGTTTACAGCACAAATACTCGCAGTGCTGGCCTACGTGCCCTCAGGTTGCACAAGTCAGCGTGGGATGCTGCGAAGAGTCTTGGATGTGCAGCACCGGGTTCGGTCTCACCTCTGCCATGCGTTCGGGCCCTCGGGGCCCTCAGCATCCCTCCCCGGGGAGTCTCCCCCCCCCCCCCCCCGAGCAGAACAGGCAAAGTGTTCCTCAGAGCACATGACACAAGGACCGCGGACGGGTTTGGGAAGCCAGTTGCTCAGAAAATGCATGGGTCAGAACGGCCGGGAAGCTTTATTGCAAGGTGCTCAACATCACAACATCACCAGCTCCGAAAGGATCCGAACACGGCCGCTGCAGGTCACTGCTACTGGGAGAAGAGGCAGAGCAGAATCCTTGCCAAAGGGACATTTCTTTTGAAGTCAGGTAGACAAATAAATTAATGCCATGATAAAATTCGTATGTTTTAAATACAGAGAACCACTTAAAATATACATCAGATATATTCAGTCTGATAGCCGAAAAAGTGCAAAACCAGACGAACGCAACAGCAGCAACAAAAATCCAAGTGCAGGTTTTTCAGGTGAACACCTCCAGGTACCCCCCCCACCCTGACCAGCCCCACCCCATGCAGCTGTGAGCATGTGGGGCACTGGGGCTGGCAAAGCAGGCCCAAAAGGCAGGGGCGCTGTGAGTGTGCCGTCTGCGGCTCATCCCCAGGCCCAAGTGCCGGCTGCTCTGCGCAAACTCCAGTTCTGGGTACGGAACGCCCAGTTAGAACGGTCTGCCCTGGTGCGCAGCTGTTTATTCTGGAGAGTTCAGCTGGTACAGCGCAGGGGCCCTGGCAGAGTCGCCCCTCTGCAGACTGCACTTCCGGGGTGGGGGGAGCGACAGCACCAGAAGGCTCTTGCTGCCAGAGAAGAGTTGGGAAAGGCTTTGCAAACTCTTAAAACGGGGAAGCTGCTCAAAAGTCAGGAAACCACCAAGCCAGGGAAGAGGGACCACAGATCTGGCCTGTGGTTTGACATCCTGCTCCAAGCAGTCATGCTAAAAACCTACAGGAGCACTCTGTGATTGGAGACCATTTCCAAAATGATACATTGATGTATCTGAGCGCTCAGGCCTGACCTCCCTCAAAGAAGCAGCTCTCTGTGCTGCCCACTCAGGGTGGGCCAAGTGGAAAGTGAACGGGATTCCTCAAAGAGCAGCGGAGGAGGGTGGCAATTTTCCAAAAGAACAAAGCGGGCTGCAAGACACCAGCCGTGCAAGGGAGACCCCAAGGCCCTTTCTGGCTACAACGTGAGGCAACAACCTGCAACTAAAAGCGGCTGGTTTATCGCACACACTCGCTAGAAATGCTCATCAAGGCAGAGGATGCCCCCACGCCAGTTCAGAGGAATCCAAAAGGTTCCCCGCATTCTTGGAAGCTTACGAACGTTGATGTAGCAACCAACTCAAAAAGCCAACATTAAACTCATGGCTCAGTCCAGGTACAACACACCCGCAGCACCACAAACACAGACAGCAACCGGAGGAGGAGGAGGAGGAGGAGGGATGGTCCGGGCTCTGCCGTCGGCCTGCCCCGCAGCCGCCGGGCCGAAAGCGGTCGCGCCTTCCGGGGTCACCGCCTGCGGACGGGCTTGTAAATGCACACGGCCATCAGGATCATGGCCACGAGGAGGACGCCGAAGACGCTGCCCATCAGAGCTGGCGGGAGGAAGGAGAGGGGCTGGTGAGGAGCGGGAAGCGCCGGGGCCACGCGGACGCGCCCCGCCGGCCGCTCCGTCAGCCCCGAGCTTCGCTCGCACCGGGGGGCCGCGGGCCCGCACGCCACCCCGGCTCTGCGGGGCCTGCAAGGGGGGGCGGGCCCGGGGGGGCCCTGCTCCCGCTCGGCACCCTCTTCTCCGCACAGCCGAGCGCGATCCGACACGCGCGCCCCCCCTGCGTGCACGGAGCCCCGCCTTGCCCCCCGGCTGTGCTATGGCCCCCGGGCACTGCGGCGGCCGGATGCAGCGGGCAGCCGCCCACGGGGCCTGCCAGGCCCTGCACCGGGGGCCCTGCACCGCACCCCCCCGGGAGAGCAGCGGCGGCTGCGGGGAGGGCACCTATTAACCCCCCCTCCCGTGAGGTCCAGCAGGTTTCCCGACCCTGCGCCCTGGGATGGGCTGGACTACACCTCCCGTCGTCCCGCCAGCATGCTGGGAACTGCGGTCCAGCCGACCTGGGGCAGGCTCGTGCAGAGGCCTGCTTCCGAGCGGGCCGCCGCGTGCATGTGTGCGGGGGCCCGGCGCCGGGAAGCCCCTTGTCCCGACACCCGGGAGGCGCGACGGCGGGCGCGGCGCGGGCGCCGCACGGGGTCCCGAGCCGCCCCCGGAGCCCGGCGGGCTGGGCTGCCGCGGAGCCGGGCGTCCGGCCTCACCGAGGTTCTGCGTCTTGAGCACGGCGTAGGGCCGGCTGTGCGCCGCCGGCGCGGCCCGCCCCGGCTCCTCCCCCGCCGCGGCCGCCGCTGCTGCCGCCGCCGCCGGCCGAGGCGGGGGA